AAATACAATCTTTTTCTTTTTTTAAATGGCAATACGCATTGATTGTTCCATAGAGTTTCTATCTATCGATGGATTGTAGTATTAGTAATGGTTTCTTTAGAACAGAGATAGTGTATGGTGATTGGCTAAGCTTTTTTAGGTTTAGTGGATTACTGCAGAGCGGGCCTCAGCAAACACTTGTCAATGTCCAGATAATAAATAAGGGTGAGTAACAGGCCTCTGACCCCAAGGAACTCACAATCCGGTAGGGGAGGAAGCAAGCTTGTAAGTAATTATTCCAACAAAATGCTATTGATAAATAAGATTGATACTAAAAATTTTAGTGATTAAGACACAATGGGAAGGATGCAGGGCATGCAGGAGAGCGGGAGAATAGGAGGGGACCAAAGGTGACGGGGCGGGTGGTTCTCCAAGTACAATCTGTGGGCCAGCAGCATCAGTCAGCCTCCCTGGGAGCTTGTTAGAAATGCAGATCCCTGGGCCCCACCCCAGACCTGCTGAAGCTGAAAGTAGGGGGGTGGGCCCTGGCCAGCCCCGCTGGTCATGCTGACGCACACTGCAATTTGTGTATCTCCGGTCTAGGCAGTGATCGGCCACCAGTGTTCTGTGCAGGAGCGTAGGACAGGCCGTTTCGATGCTCAGCTTGTCCCAGAATTGCTAGAGTCCGCAGCCCAGCCTGGACCCCCTGTGTTGGTGGACTGTTCATCTGTTGCAATCAATTGAGTGTATCTGGGAGTTTTTCTGAATTCTTACATGGATGGGAAGTTTGACTTTGCCCATCGGTATAATTTGTCCGTTTTTTCTTTTATGGATTATATTTTTGGTGTCATTTCTGAGAACTCCTCGCTTAGCCCCAGGTCGTGAAGGTTTTGCCTGTTTGTACAGAGCCATAAAAACCTCACTCATGGGTTTCACAGAGGCAAAGGCATTGCTGGTTGATGCAGTAGAAAATGCCATGCTGCCTTCATTTGGATTCTCTCAGAAGTGGCCCCGGAGACAAGGATCCCAGTGCAGGGAGCTTTGTGGGAGGCGCAGGGTCTCCTGGGAGGGGCGTGGGGAGGTGTGACCCGGAAAAGAAGGCAGCCAGTAGAGGCTGGGCTGGTAATGCAGCTCACCCAATAGGTGACTGGAGGCCAACGCTACGCTTTGCAAACTCTAGGAAACAGAGCTTGCTGTGTCCCGGCTCCCCAAGATCATCTCTGGGTTCAACTAGGAGTACTCACAGGACAGCATACAGTTGTCTTCCTGGCTATGATTTATTATAGTAAGGCATATAGGGCACAATCAGCAAAGGGAAAAGGCAAGCTCGTTAGAGTCTCAGTACCCATGAGTTTTATTGGAGGTTGGTCCTATAGGCACCCTCTGTCTGGCTCATTATCAAAATTCCAGTCTCTTAGAAAGAAAGCAGGAGTTCAGCATCAATAACATTATTTGGACAACCAGTGTAGGCACACTGAGCCATTCTCATCAGTTCTGGGACTGGTGGGAACCCTCTTGAAATGCAAGTTCCCACCTGCTAGCCAAGGGCCAACCTTGCCCGCAGGCCTTTCTAAGGAGAGCAGGCTCAGGCCTGCAGTGGTCAATTTTTTCTGCCTTATAAAACACATGCCTTGAAATGACTCCATTCAGGGGGTAAGGGAGTGGGGATATTTATACACCAGTTCCTGAGAGTCATCAGTTAATACCTGCTCCTAATAACGCATTCAGGCATAGAGATCCAGTTGGAAATAAGCTGGAGCTTACTGGAAGGTTTTGAGGAATGTGGGTGGGGTGCTGGCAGCATCAGATACAGTAGTTGTTCTAGAAATTGGGTGAGGACAGCAAAGCCACATGTATAGGGCAGTTCATGTGCATGTGGTCATGTGGTGGTTTTATAACTGGGCGAAGAGACCAAAGTCAAGGCTTCCCTATAACTTCCTTCGGGTGTGGCAGGAACTCTGTGCAGGCCAATCGCTGGGCCTGGAGGCACAGGGAGAGCCACTGATGGATACTGCCTTTCTGTGTCTGCCTGTTGGCTGGATGGGAAAGAGTGTGTGTGTGTGTGTGTGTGTGTGTGTGTGTGTGTGTGTGTGTGTGTATTGTGGGGACAGAAAATCCCGGTACATTTGTTATGTTTTATTTTTATTTATTTAGTTATTTATTTATATATTTTTAAAGATTTTATTTATTTGACTAGAGAGAGACACAGTGAGAGAGGGAACACAAGCAGAGGGAGTGGGAGAGGGAGAAGCAGGCTTCCTGCTGAGCAGGGAGCCCGACGCGGGGCTCGATCCCAGGACCCCGGGATCATGACCTGAGCTGAAGGCAGGTGCTTAATGACTGAGCCACCCAGGCGCCCCGTTTTATTTTGAAATTATTTTTTAAAAATATTTATTTATTTTAGAGAGAGGGAGAGAGCGCTCACGTGCAGGCGTGGAAGTGGTGGAAGAGGCAGAGGGAGAGAATTTCAAGCAGACTACGTGCTGAGGCAGAGCCCAGCACCAACGCTGGGGCTGGTTGGGGGGCTGGATCCCACGACCCAGGAGATCAGGACCCTGAGATCATGACCTAAGCCAGCATCACGAGTCGGACGCTTTATGGACTGAGCCACCCGGGCACCCCCATTTGTTGTATTTTAAACTTCCTCTTTTAGTCTTTGAATTCAGAGCAGCAGAAATGGCAGATAAACAAATGTGTGCTACAGCTTCAAATTTCATGGCAAAAACCCTTTTCTTGCTCTGTCCACGTGAGCGAAGTAAGAGAACCAGGCTGTGTTGTGTAATCTGAAGCTAGAGTGCATTTGTATTGGATTACATTCCGTAAGTGTGTCGTGGTGTTGTGTGCACAGAGATCCTGGCTCAGAAAGAAGGCAGCCGGGTGGACGGTATCTTCATTCGGCTTAAGCTTCTGGATCCCCCCCCCCCCCCCCCCCCCCCCCCGTCAGAGAACCGAGTGCGGGCGAGGAGCTGGCCTGGCCGCCCTCGGAGGAGAGACGAGACCAGGAAGGAGTGAGGTTAGCTGGTCATGCCGGTGATCACGGTAACGCAGGCCTTGCACCGAGGTGACTCATCCACTGCAGGCACATTTTGGGAAGCACTTGAGCCAGAGCGTGGGGAGAAGAAGAGAAGCCACCGAAGGTGACAGAGGAGTGGCCGTGGGTTAGAGAGGGAGTGGCCCTCCAGTCGCTCAGAGCAGGGAGCCAGAGCCGTGGGCTCTGGACGTACGAGGTTTCCAGAACCTGAGGCAGGATTTCCGGCTACAGGAGGCCGAGGGAAGGACCGCCGGTGAGGCCGGCCAGGGTGGGGGAGGGGTCCTGCCCTCTCTTGGAGGGCAGGTGGGACTTACACGTTGAAGAGAGATGGGGGAAGGAGGAGGCAGTCCCCGCATGTGTGTCCTGGACCCACAGGACCTTCCCGGACACTCCAGGGCACCTGGGCAGAAGGACGGCTGGCAAAGCAGCCTCCCTGACCGGGGGCCCCCAGCCTGGTGGCCGTTACAGTAGCGGCCAGTGCAAAAGGGCTGCAAGAAAAGGGGCTTCGTAGTGGCTGCGTGGGATGACTTCTGGAACTTCTGGCAAAGATGTAGGAAGTGAAGCTTTTCTGAGGTTTTTTTGTTTGTTTGTTTTTCTTTTGGGTGCCGTCTGACCAGGATCTGGCTCTGAACTCCATATTCTTAGATCCTTTCTTCCTTGGGTCCTAAGCTTTTTGTGTGGTATCTTGTGACACTTTGTTAAGAGCTGTGGTATGATCATATCTTTATTCACGAGCCAAGGGCGTCTGCAGTCTTGAAGCATTAGGATAGCTAATTAGTTGGAGAAACTTCTGATTGTAGGATACAGAAACCTCCAGGTGTGTGTGTGTGTGCGCGCACTTGCACTTACGTTAGTGTTAGAAACTACCTTTTCAATTTTCCCAAAGCTTCCAGGTTGAAATGTTGCTGGTGAGGTCCTTTAGTTGCATTTTTGGGGTCTAGCCTGTTCATCAGTTGATGGCATTTGGGTTGTTTTCACATTTTGGCTAGTGGGAATAATGCTGCTCTGATCATTTGTGTGTAAGTCTCTGTGCGGACATGTTTTCAGTTCCCTTGGGTCTAAGCCTGCAAGTGGAATTGCTGCTTCACGTGGAAACTCCGTGTTTAACCTTTTGAGGTGCTGCCAGACTGAAATCCCTTTTCTTAGCTGAGCTTTTTATGGAAGTAAATATCTACCTATAAAAATGCAAAAATCACAAGTGTACAGCTCCATGAATTTTTGCCAAGGGAGCTCCCCTCTGTAACCAGCACCCAGGTCAAGGAACAGGATGCGACTGGCCCCCAGAAGCCCTTTCTGGCTCCTCCCAGGAGGCCGTACCCCACCCCAAAAGGTAACCACTACCCAGACCTTCACACCACAGATTAGTGTTGCCTGTTTATGAACTTTATATAAGTGGAATCTTTTATTTCCAGCTTTTGTCTTACATTCTTAGCTCATGCGCCATACAAAAAAACACTGACAGTTTTTCTGCCAGTATTCCTCTCCCAAATCAGACCATGTTGTCTTATTTGCCAGCTTCCCTATTAGCTAATTCCCAGATGACTTGGGCAGATGGAACAGAAAATCCGAACTCAGATGAAAAGACGCAGAGCCTCTCCAGTCCGGTGAGGGCCGGTGGCCACGGGCTGAGGGCCAGGAGATGGGCTGCCAGGGCGGGCGCGGTAGAGACCGCTCCTGTCCCGGCCCCCTTTCCCCTGCCCGTCCCCTTGTGGTAACTTAGCTGCCATTCAGGCCTTAGCTCGTGTTTCGAGGGAGGGGCCGGGTGGGCAGGATTTTCCACCCTGTGGGCCTCCCAGCCCGTGTCGCAGTCCCTCCCTTGGGCCGTGGGAGCCCCAAGCAGCCCTAGGCGCGGCGTGACCGAAGGCACTTGGCCGTGTGCCCCTGACACTTGATTTACCAAAACAGGCAGTGGGTCGCATTATTGGGCATCGGCTCCCTCCCAGACCCCTGTCCGAGGTGCCAGAGCTACCAGCAGGCCTGTGCCCCTTACCTAGCCGCAGAAGCATCGTGCTCCACTGGCAGAACGACAGAGACAAGTAGGCCACCTGAATGCCCACCAGCTGACGAGTGGACGGAGAAAACGGACGTGTACACACACTGGACTCTGAAGCGGAAGTCCTGCCGTAGGCAGCAACACGGATGGATCTGGAGGACGTTACGCGGAGTGAAATAAGCCGGTCACAGAAAGATGCACTGCATCATTTCATTTGTATGAGGCGTCTCAAGGGGCCGAACTCATAGAAGCAGAAGGTAGCAGTGGCTCCCGGGGGGCTGGGCGGGGGGGGGGGGCGGAGCAGAAACGGGGAGTCTTGGTTCGGTGTGTATAAAGTCTCAGTGAGGGAAGACGAAAAACTTCTAGAGATCTGCTGTACAACCTTCTGCACGGGGTACCTTGGCCGTACCCTGAAAATTTGTTAAGAGGGTGGATCTTGTGTTATTATTTTGTTAACTACCAACCATTTAAAAACACGAGAGAAAAAGAGAATGTTTTTGATTGCCAAGGAGGAAGCTCCCAGTTCTCTCTGGGGAAATTCATGCATGTGGCACAGAGAGTGCGAAACAGAGGAGAATGCTGGAGGGTGAATAGGAGCTTTCCTGTCGGGACAGGAGAGCTGTTCTAGGTAGAGGACACAGCACGCTCAGACGAATGGGTTTCCTCTGCCTGACATGCTGGTGATCCTTACTAGTCTAGCTGGGGTGCTCTGTATTCAGCGTGGCCTTGATCAGACTTAGAACCTGTCCTTCTTTACCTTGATCTGGGTGATTTCCTGCTTTCGTTCATCTTCTAGAAACCGTTTTTTTATTGCCAATATCCGACTATGCAAAGTCCAGATTTCCTTTAAATGGCACAGATCCCTGTTTTGAGGGTGAGCCAAGCCATCTAGAGTTGTTTTCAGTATCAAAGTCATAAATCACATCACTGATACTCTCACAGTTAATGCGTGCTGTGTTCATCGGGCGCTGGGTGAAGTGAGCTTTACCGGACAGGGTCTGTGGTTATCATCCGCTGGTGAACCCTTGGACCCCGGCCTCTTGGAGCCGTCATACTGCAAGACCAAACCGATAGATACTTTCTGGCCTGAAAGGATTGGATAAAAGATCTAGGTGCGCAGTGTGTCTTCCAGATTCCCTTTGTAGGTACGTACGGTTGGGTGGGACGGGTGTTACTTTGTCGGGCCAGGCGCCTCCAGCATGAAATCTGATTCCATCCCATTTCTGTTGGCAGTTGTATCCTCCGTCGTTGTTCCTCTCCTCCTCCCGGAAGTCCGACCACGGTGCCCCAGCTCACTCATCTGTCTTCATTGCTCCTCTCCCTCCGGAGCCCAAGCAACAGTGCTGAACACTGTTACATGACAACCCCTTCAAAAAACCCAACGGCTTGAAACAATAACCAGTTATTTTTCTCACAGTCTGTGGGTGGGCTGGGTGATTTGATTGGGCCAAACTCGGCTGATCTTGGCTGGGCTCACTCAGGAACCTGTGCCTGGCTGGGCCTAGGTGACCTGGGATGGCCTTAGCTGAGCTGATCCAGCTCCATTCCATGCCATGTGGTCTCTCATCTTCCAGCATTCTAGCCTAGGCTTCTCATGGCAGAGGCAGAGCGCCCCCCCCCCCAAAAAAAACACCACCACCACCAACAGACCAGCCAGCAGAGGCTGCATCACCTCTTGGGATCTAGACTCGCACATGCATGCTAGTCACTTCTGCTGCGTGTCACAGGAAAGTCCAGATTCAGTGGGTGGAGAAATAGACTCTTGCCTCTTAATGAGGAAGACCTGGGAAGTCCCACTGAAAATGCGGTAGATCCAGGGACGGGTAGAAAATATGGCCATTTTTGTAATCAGTCCACTGCATGGATCAGGGATCAGCAAATGTTCTCTGTAAATGGTCAAAATAGTAAACATTTCAGGCTTGGGGGGCCATATAGTCTTTGTTATAACTCCTCAACTCTGCTCTTGTCATGTGAAAAGCAGCCGTAGACAATATATAAATGCCTGGGCATGGCTGTATTCCACTAAAACTTTATTTACAGAACCAGGCAGCAGGCCAGATTTGGCCCACAAGCTGCAGTTTGCTGAGCCCTGACCTGGACAATCCAGACCAAGTAGGGATCTCCGATCCAGGTTCTAGGATGTTGTCCTTCCTGGAACCAAGGCCTTGAGGCCAGAAGCATGGGTGTCATCTGTCAGCAAAAGTGCTCTTATTGGAGTGAAGAAATAAAAACAGACTGAGAGGAGCAAGGGCTCCTTGCTAAGGTACAAATGACTATTTGTATCCATTTGGGGTTGTTCCTTGTTCCATGATGAACTTATCTAGGTTAAGTTTATTTCTCAGCAAGTCCTTGGAGTTCACCCCTTGTCACTCCCGTGTGTGGCTGGATTCTCATTCCTTATCCATCCACATCTCCCAAATGGATTCCAGATAGAATTCTTTCCATTTTTCTTTTTCTTTCTTTTAAGATTTTATTTATTTATTTGACAGAGAGAGACACAGCGAGAGAGGGAACACGAGCAGGGGGAACGGGAGAGGGAGAAGCAGGCTTCCCGCGGAGCAGGGACCCCGATGCGGGGCTCGATCCCAGGACCCCGGGACCATGACCCGAGCCGAAGGCAGACGCTCAACGACTGAGCCACCCAGGCGCCCCTCTTTCCATTTTTCTAACCTGGATGCCCTCTTCTTACACTTCTCCCAGGAGGGTCTGGGCATCAGAAGTGACCTCAGCACCTCCTTCTGGGCTCCCAGGAAAGCCCCTGATTAGATCTACAAGTTAGATCTTGTTTATTTTCCTTTACCAATTATGTGTCTAATTGTCACGACCATGACATGCTCCATCAAAATTCAAAGATGTTAATTGTTCCCGAGAGTGACTTTTTGATTCAACCATTATTTCCTGGAGTTGTTGCTTGACTAGAGATTTGGTTACCTTTCAGGTAACGTGAACTCCCTTTTCATAGAATGTCCAAGTCTATGCTGCTCTTCTATCTGCTGGCTTGGTTTTTCTCACGAGGGCTGCCCATTGTGGGTCAACAGTCAGCTCCCTTATTTTTCCCATCAGAGATTTTCTGTACCGCATATAATACAAAACTGTTACCACCTTGTTTTTGTAGAAATGAGAACGAAATCTTTGCTTTCTAATTTTACTCCTTCCCCTTTATTATTGGTTGCTACTGACTTATGCAACATGATTCTTCCCTGGGTACTCATCAACAGGTATAGTTTTCAGCTTGGCATGGCTCAAACCTCAAACTTTTAAAGTTTTAAAGCAGCCGAGTTGCACAGACGGTCAATAAATCACTCACTATCGCCACTTTATTGCTTGTAAGGTGATTACCCCGCTTTGCCCATAGCGACTTTTCAATTTGATTAAAATGCAGTTTCATCAGGTCGTGGTTGAGTCCTCCAGATATAAAAATACATAAAGCAATGAGAGAAGCCTATGCTCAAATATCTTTATAACTACCCTTCCCCTCTTTAACCATCTACTCCAGCACTTTTGTGGGTCTTGTCCTATAATTCAAATTTCCGTGCTCTTTGCCAAAGTAATTTTTATTTAGTGCTTATTCCAACTTCTTGTCTTTGTGAGAGTGTATTATTTTTTTCCTGCTAACTGGTGGGGAGCATTGGTCCTGCTGCAAAGCATTTTCTTCATCTCAAATTAGCTCCTATGTGATCTGTAAATCAGGCTCTGATGGTGGTATAACATGGAAGGTGTCTTGGTTTATTTGCGGTTGTTTTCCAGACCCAGGGAGCCAGGAGAGTGGGAGTGGAATTGTTATCTTAGGAAAAGGAGAAACTCTCAGCTTGGCTACTGTCCTGGCAGCAGGAGCCCTTTTGACTGTATTTTAAGAAAAATTAAAAGTGAGCGCCTGTATCCACGGCTCCCTTGCCCAGGGCGGTGTGCTGCTAGCCGGGCATGGCTCTTGGCTTGTCTTAGTCTGTTTGCGCCGCTATGATCAAATCCCACAGACTGGGGGGCTTCTACACAAGAGACATTCATTTCTCACAGTTCTGGAGGCTGGAAGTCTGACACCGGGGCGGGGGGAGGGCAGCACGGTTGGGTGGGGGCCCTCTCCTCCGTCAGAGACTTCTCGTTGTGTCCTCACACGATGGAAGGGGTGAGGAAGCTCTCTGGGGTCTCTTTTATAAGGACACCTAATCCCATTCCCGAGGGCTGCTTGACCTAGTCACCTCCCAAAGGCCCCACTTCCTAACATCATCACACAGGGGGATGGGATTTCAACATACGAGTTTCTGGGGCGCACACACATTCAGACCATAGCACGGGTCATGTGGTAGGTTGTCGTCTATGCCTTGTCCGTCTCCAGGGGCCCCCCTCCCCGCCTCCACCCTGCAGCCCCTACACAGGGCCTCTGCCCTCTGCGGATTGTCTTGGCTTCCACCAGTGGGTTAATGCCTGGCCAGCATTTCACTCTGCTCTAGCTGTAGGGTTTGAATATCCTCAGTGATGACACGTAGGCCGCCTGCCTGAGTGGTGCACTTTATCTCACAAGAGAACCAGTTATTGGTTCGGTTGCAGTGATTGGATTTGGAGTGGTAGGCCTCGACCCTGTTTGCCCCTCTGGCCCTCTCGTTTTGATGCCTTGCTTTTGCAGAACTTGAGGTTTTTCAGAAATTTGTGTGGTCAATCTTACTTTGTGGTTCTGCATTTGTGCATTTGTCTACTCACCAAGACGTACTCGTAACCCCAAATTGATACATGCGGTGCTCTCCTGGTTAGTCACAGACATGTGCGTGTGCAGAGTGGCAAAAAGTCTGAGTCGCCCGAAAGGCACCCTCCTGGCTCTGCCATCTTACTTCAGCTCTCCGACTATAAGCAAGTGTCCTTTGTACAGATTGTTTAGTGCCATGTTTTTCACATTTTTGTGCCTTTTTTTTTTTTATTGGTAATTTGCTGTTTGTCGTGGGCCCAAAACGCAGGGCTGGAGCGCCCCTGGTGTTTCCACGCGCAAGAAGGCTGCAGTGCGCCTTGTAGAGAGAAGCCGTTGGGCAGATAAGCTTCATTTGGGTATGAGTTGCAGCGCTGCGGCCGTGACCTCAGTGGAAATGAATCAGTAGTATATATTCAAGAAGATGTCTTAAAACAGAACCACAAAAAAGCAGGGTTGTATATTGCCTGGCTTACAAAAACGTGATCAGAGGCTTGTAGGAACCCAGCCCTGCGTATCACTTAGGGACATTGCTTTGGTAGCCGCTAATTCGGTGTTCATGGGGACTCTATAGAACGAGGCGGCTGCAAATAACAAAACTTGACTGTGCTACAGACCGAAGGTTGGTGTCTCCCCAAAATTCACGTGTTGGAACCTAAGCCTCGACGGGGCGGTGGTTAGGAGGTGCGGCCCTTGGGCCGTGATCAGGCCATGAGAGCTGAGCCCTCATCGGTGGGATTAGTGTCCTTATAAAAGAGACCCCGGAGAGCTCCACTGTTGTTCCCGGTATGTGATGACACCGTGAAGAGATGGCTGCCCGTGAACCAGGATGGGGGTCTTCACCGGACTCCGACCCTGCAGCGCCTTGATCTTGGACTTCCAGTTTCTAGGACCGTGAGAAACGCATTTTCGTTGTTTCTAAGCCGCCCAGTGTACGGTACTCCGTCAGAGCAGCCTGAAAGGACTAAGACGGGCTGTATCTATATTTCATTAGGGCAGAGGTACCTGTGCGGGAGCAATTCTTTCTTGCATAAGAAAGTACTACCTGTGGCTTGTTCTGCCGTGTCTCTGCAGATAATCCTGAGTGATGGTTTTCATCCCAGGCTTTCTCTCCCAGGTGTAACTAGCATGGTCAATGCAGGAGCGATGAGCGGCTCTGGAAACCTGATGGATTTCCTCGATGAGCCATTCCCTGATGTGGGGACGTATGAGGACTTCCACACCATCGACTGGCTGCGGGAAAAGTCCCGGGACACCGACAGACACAGGAAGGTAGGTGGCATTCATAAAGACATGTCGAAGGGGCTCCCTTCAGGTGGCTGGGCCGTGTTTTGGTGGGGCAGTTGCTGAGGTAGGGGTAGGTCACATGTCACCTCCTGGGCGGGATTCTGAAGGAGAGAAGGGCTAGCAAGAGAGGCAGAGATGTGGACAGGTAATAACGAGATTACGTGCGTTGGGTGGGAGGCTGCGTCATACGGAGGAACGGTGTGGAGGGCGATGAGGGGACTCCAGGAGCAGACAAATCAGGTACATCCTGCCCTTGATGCCTTTAGGCCGGGTGACTTTTGGGGCGCCATTTCTAGACCCTGGTTTCTCCTCTCTAAGGGTGGAGGCCATTATATCTAAAGATTGAGTGAGTTGAGTTGCCTGTGTATGGAAGCACGTACCACAGTGCCCGGCAGCTAGTTGGCGATCAATCTCTATTTTAGTGGCCACCATAAAGTTCGGTAGAAGTGCTGTGGGAACATTCAGGAGGGATGGTTAGGGAAGGGTTTTTTAGAGACGGTGACATTTCAGTTGGGCCTTGAAAGGTAGGTTGACTAGGAGTTTGCTAGGTGGAGAAAGGGGAAAAGATTCTAAAATCAAGAGGGGCCCTTTTTTAAGTCACCAAGGCATGAGAGAACACTGCACAGTAGGTGGTTCGGGAGCTCTCTGGCCTGGGGGAAGGCTCACAGGACGGGAGGACATGGGCAGGGGGCCACCCCGGCAATGACCAAGTAGGCCATGAAGGTGGGTTTGGGTTTCATCTTCATGGTCACAGAATACAAGAAAAATGCATTGCAGAGGGAGAAACAGGAAGCTTGGAAATCAGGAGAAAAGAGGAAGAAGGTCTGACGAAAGGCAGCGAAGTGCAGATGGAGAGAGGCTCGGGGTCAAGAGTTATTCAGAGGAGCCCCTGACAGGATTTGGGGTGGGGTATTGGGGGTAGGCAGGGAGTGGAGTCCAGGATGAGGCCCGGGCCGCGGTTAGAAGGGGGCGATGCCCTTGTTGGCAAGAGGGAAGGAAAGGGGAACAACAGATTTGAGGGGGAGGCCGGTGAGTTCTGTCTCAGCCACTTTGGCTTCGAGCTGTTTACCCAGCCTGCAGCTGGGGGTGGTTGGCAGGCGGCGAGAACTCTGTAGTTCAAGGGTGCGGTCAGGGCTGCGGTGCCGAAGGAGGAGGCCCCAGCACGTGAGTGGGCGCCGAAGCTTGAGAAGTGGCCGAGGTGGCCTGGGTGTGCACGGAGAGGGAGAAGTAAGGGGGGGGTTGGAACTCCGGGCCCTGCCGAGATTTAGCAGGTGCAGTGGGAGGTCGGCGGGGCGCCTGTGACAGACAGCTGGGAGAGGCGGGGAGAGAGGTGAAGGAGGGCAACGGGCAAAGTGGTCGCGAGCCAGAGGAGGAGAGAGTGGTGAGGCCGGGGCGGCCAGCCAGGTTACTCTCCGTGGAGAGGTAAAGTAGGAGGCAGCCCCGCAGCCTGGGGACTGTCGGCGGCCTCGGGGAGAGCACCTTCCGAGCGGGACGGGGAGTGACGTCTGGGGCGCCGCTGGGTCCCATCATTTCCCGCAAGTTGGCAGGAGTGGGGTAGGGAGTCCGGAAGATGAGCCAGCCTCCTGGCTCCGGTGTGGAGGACAGTGGCAGAGGGGGCAGCCTCCGGCCCGGAGCGGAGCTTGCTGAACTCTGACCCACGAGCGCAGTCCAGCCTGGCACCTGCTCTGCTAAGGAGAGTGTCCGGGGAACACAGCCGTGCCCGTTCACGTGCACGTTCCCCATGGCTCCTTCTGTGCCCCCGTAGCAGAGCTGCGTAGTTGGGACAGAGGCCGGCTGACCCGCAGAGTCAAAAATCTTTCCAGAAAATGCTCTAAGGAGCTTAGGGAGGAATGGCGTCGGAACAGTGTGTTCGGACGCGTTCACCCGCCTGCTGAAGGTGACCCGGGCTAGCCCATTCAGAGGTCTTGCTGCTAACCTTTGACCTTGAAAACAAAAGAAGGAAATGAACTCTGTTGAAGAGCTTCTTTTGTGAGCAGGCCCTAAGGTGAGGGTTAAAGTGGTAATTCTCATTTAAAATGGTGACGACGAATGGCTGTCTCCCTTCAGAGTGGCTTCTGAATCCTCAAAGTTCAAATCACACTGAGGAAGTTTTTTTTAATTAAGTGAATTTGGGGGGGATTCTAAGTCTTTGGTGGCTACGATGGCATCTCTGCAGCTGCGTGAACCCGAAAGCCCGTTTTGTCATTGCACCGGGTAGCGGGTAAGGTGACGAAAGTGGCAATTTAGTCGCTTAATTACATTTGTTTTCTCACTCACCCCATTTCCCGGAGGAAACGGTTTCAGGGAAGGAAGCGTGAATAGGAAAATGTATCCCAAATCAACTACTGTGTCTCTGTTTCTAGATAACCAGCAAAAGCAAGGAGTCCATATGGGAGTTCATCAAGAGTTTGCTGGATGCCTGGTCAGGCTGGGTGGTGATGCTGCTCATCGGCCTGCTGGCGGGTACGTGGAGGGGCGCATGCAGTACCCCCCCGCCCCCGGGGCCGGGGCTGGAGGTGCCGCCGAGCCCCAGAGCACCAACTCTTCCTGTTCAGGCTGGTGTTCTGAAAATGGACTGGTTCTCTTTTACCCCCGTGCAAGCGATTTATTACTTGAAATGCCTCAGAGCAAACTACACGACCATACACTTAACATAAAGCGTATCATCAATAAGGCAAGACCCCCAAGGCATGGGCCCAGATGCGGTCATTGGAAAAAAGCTGTAATTAGAGGGCCGTGTCTGCACGGCACCCAGGTTTATGGCCATACTGGATTTTATCGAAAGCACATAGTTTGCATTCTGTAGTACTGGGTTACGTAGAAGGCAAGCAAGTATGGGAACGCTTTGATCTCTAATAATAAAGTGCCATTTGAGAGTGGTCTTTACCAGTACTGGCGGACCCTGGAGTGAATCGTACACATCCTAGGATACTCAGAATAATCCGAGACACCTGTAGGGCCTGAGGTAGGCCCCAGGGCAAATATGTCCAGCCCGTGCGTTGTTCTGACCCTCAGGGACTCTGCATCCTCCATTTTTATAATCCCAGCATCATGCTTGCAAGTAGTCGATGTTTTCCAGAGTGAATGGAGGCGTATCTGGTGGGGAAACCTGCCCTTCTAATATCAGATGTACCAGCTCTCCATGGAAATTCTGTCCTGAGACATTATTTCCTTTTAGGAGGCTCTGAAGGCTAATGTCTAAGATTAAAAAAAAATCTGAGCACACTAACAGCAATTCCCTTAATAAAAATCACCTACCTGTAGTAACATAATAGTTGCGGTTGTAGGATTGATCAGCAAATGGCTGTCATAAAGGCAGAATATAGGAAATGCTGTAAGAAAGACAGAATACTAACGGGGCATAGATACAAATTGTGTGATTACAGAGGGTTTAGATTTCTGGGCATTCCTTCCTTTATCCCGTACACAGTCGTGGGAGGGGCTTGGTTGCCAGCGAGGGCAGCCGGCGCTGAAGGGGGGATCCTTTCCCTCTACTCACGGTGGCTGTCCTCCCATGTCCCCAGTTTTAGCCTTCTGTTCCCAGGGGCAGCCCGGGTATAGACCAGCAGCAGTGTTGGCAGGGAATCCGATTTCATGCCTATATGGTGTTTTGCCACGAATTTGTTTGACTGCTTCCACCAACACCTTTGTAAGTGGGCAGGGGAGGAATTTTCTGTGAATTTTGATGTCTTTATTTAGAATAGATTTAAGAAACTGTATACCGTATCATTATTCTTGGCTTCTAGGCAGGAGAAGTAAAGAGAGGGAATGCAGAAATCTGGAATAGATGTTCTAGCGTCTCGCCAGAGCAGACAGCACAGCATGGATTTATTGACTAACGTAAGAGCCGGACTGGGCTCTCTTGAACAAATCTGGTATTGACCAGTTGGTTTCCTTGTCAACCCAATTTCCTCCAGTTCTTTCAGGAAGAATCACCTGGGGAATGGAAGCAAAAAATTTGGCTGCCTGGGCTTCAAGTCAGTGGTATCCCCGGAGATGGTGCCCTAGCATTGGGTAAAGCCCCCCTCCTTTCTCCCAGCCCCCTCCACCTGTGATCCTACTGCGCAGCCAGGGTTGAGCACCCCCGCCGAAGGGTGCTCTGTGGACCCCCCCCCCAGAGGAATACAGGAGGAAGGTGAGAAGGGGATGACACTGGCAGTGAAGGTGGCTAAAGTGTGCTGGCTAAAGCCAGCAAATTGTGTCCCCTTCACTTTTCTCTTCCCCAGTTGTTCTCACAGTGCGGGAGGACTCAGGGGGTCCCCCTGCCTGGCCAGTCCTCTCTCCTCAGCGACACCCTGGACATTTTATTTTGACTCCCATGATGGAGAGGCCCAAGCGGCGGCTCCTCTGCGGGGCGCTTATCGGGAGTCCCCACTGGGTGTCGCTGTTGTTCCACCGACCGAAGCCGAGCCACGCGGCGCTGTCGGGCAAGTCAGCCCAGAAGACTGGGGGAGGGATGAGCTGATTGCAAACGAAATCTGGGATGATCATCGGGTCTCGCCCTTGGATATCTACAGGACCCCACCCTCGCCTTCTTTAGGTCTTTGTGTTTTTGTTTTTAAAGATTTTATTTATTTATTTGAGAGAGAGAGAATGAGAGAGAGCCTGAGGTGGGGGAGGGTCAGAGAGAGAAGCAGGCTCCCCGCCGAGCAGGGAGCCCGATGCGGGACTCGATCCCAGGACTCGGGATCATGACCCGAGCCGAAGGCAGCTGCCCAACCAGCTGAGCCACCCAGGCGCCCCTTCTTTAGGTCTTTGTTCAAATGTCTTACAACGCTTGAGGCATTCCCTGACCACCTTTTCTAAAAGTCACCTCTTCCTCTCGCAGCTTCATCCCCCTTGCCCCAGTGTGTGTGTGTGTGTGTGTGTGTCTGTGTGTGTGTGTCTGTGTGTGTGTCTGTGTGTGTCTGTGTAAAAGCTTTATTAAGATATAATTCACATTCCATACAGTTCACCTTGTCAAAGCATACAGTGCTGCGGTTTCTAGCATATTCAGAGTTGTAAAACCATCACCACACTCCATTTTAGAACATTCTTGTCAGCCCCCAGAGGACCTCCATACCCCTTAGCTATCAAGCCCGGCTGCCCCCAGCCGCCTCCCAGCCCCAGGAAGCTGCTCATCGAACTCTGTGTGTCTGCATATTTGCCTATTCTGGACATTTTGTATAAGTGGAATCCTCCAGTATGTAGTCTTGTGGTCAGCTTTCTTCACTCGGCGTCCTGTTTCTGGGGTTTGTCCTGGAGCAGGCATCAGTGCTCCGTTCTTTTTTGTTGTCAAATACTATTCCATTGTGTGGCTGGACCACATTCGATTTCTCCGTTCAGCAATATGGGCCTATGGGCTGTTTCCACTTTTTGGCTGCTGTGAACAGTGCTGCCGTGAGCATTCGTGTGCAAGTCTTCGCACAGGCGTGTGTCTTCACGTCTCTCGGAGTGGAATTGCTGGGTCAGATGGCAGCTCTGTGGTTAACTGTTTGAGGGACTGCCAGGCTGTTCTCCAAAGGGGCTGCACCTTTGTCACATGCTGTAATGTGCTCCCTAGCACTTAACTGTCTTCTCACAGAGCCCTGATTTACTTACGTTGTCCAGTGTCCTGTCCACCCCCCCACCCCCGCCGATGTGCACGTCCATGAAGACTGGGAGCTGAGTCGGCTTTGTTCCCTGCCATATCCCTGGGGCGTGGAACAGGGACTGGCACATAGGAACTCGGTGCTTAGTAACTACCCCTTGAGTAAATGGATGGACCTGGGTTTTCTGATTTTCATTCATTTATGGATTTATGGATATAAAGTTCCTGCCACGTACCCAACACAGACACAACAGTGGACAAGGCAGGTGGCCCTTGCCCACTTAGAGTGGACACAGAGTCTGGACATCTGGCCTGACCCCTACTTGGCATACAAACCACACAACAGGATCTCCACCCCCCCCCCCCCACTTATGGATTAAACCCCGTACACACACACACACACACACACACTCATGTGATTAGGATGTGAGAGGTATGATGATGGGGGAATGCCTGGGAGGGACATCTAGCCCAGACTTAGGAAATCAGGAGAGGCTTCTCAGAGGAGGTGATGTCAATATTGAATCTGGAAGATAAATAGGAGGTTGGCAGGTCTGGGAAGGACAGTGCTGGTTGAGGTGGTGTAGAAAGGAGAGCCTGGTGCGCTCCAGGAACGTGGTGTGGGTGGGATGGGGGCAGTTAGTGATGGAAAGAGATGAGGTGGGAAAGGGTATGAGGGGCCAGCTCTTCGAGTCTGCCACCTGCTAAGGATTCAGGCGTTCTCCCAAGAACAGTGGGCAGCTTTTGATGTAACAGGAGAGCAGGGACGGGTAAGCCCTGGTGCAGGTGTGCAGATGCAGATGGAGAACTGATGTTGTTATAAGGATCCAGTAAAAGTTTGAAAAATTTAGTAGCCTGAAAGTGTTCCCTGCCTCCCTAAAAGACTCTGGAATGGGTTATTCTAGAAAGAGATCCAAGGGAGCCTTCTGTGGGCCACTGCACACACTTATTTATCTCACTTCTACCCGCCTTTAAAGTAGTTACTTACTTATATAGATCCACAATCCCTTATCCATGATTTAAAAAAATCCAGAAAGTTCTGATAAGTGGGATTTTCCAAATTTGGTGGCAAAATGTTACTTAAATGATGAGGCTATTATAGTCCTTATGCCTCCCTTTTGTCTGAATTGTCAGGTTTGCCTGAGAAATATTAATGTTTGTGATCCCAGCATCAGGCCCCAAAAGCCACTGAGGGGGTTACCTCATTTATAGGCCCTGTGTACCCTGTTTCTAGAATTTGGAAGGGGTCAATTCTAAAAGCTGCTTGGCCCCAGTGGCTTGTGATGACTTAAGCCCTGCATGTCTGTCGCTCCTGCTGGATTTAAGCCACCCGGGCACCACCTACCCTTGGCCTCTGTTTCTCACGGGGCTGGCACGGCCTTGCCCACAGCGGAAGTGCTCAGGAGACCTCTCCGTGGCCCTTCCGCAGTGAGGTCGCCCCCGCACCGGCCTCCGGCTCGGCGCGCCTGGCTGCTGGGCTCCCGCGTCGGCCCCCGGGCCCTGTGTTCTCCTGCCTCATCACAGGATGGTTCCTCTGAGTGGTTCTTGCTGCTTCTTCCAGGCACCTTGGCTGGGGTCATCGATCTCGCCGTCGACTGGATGACCGACTTGAAGGAGGGGGTCTGCCTGTCTGCCTTCTGGTACAGCCACGAGCAGTGCTGCTGGACTTCCAACGAGACCACTTTTGAGGACAGGGACAAGTGTCCCCTGTGGCAGAAATGGTCGGAGCTGCTGGTGAATCAGTCGGAGGTGGGTTTCTGGGGTCCTGGCTGGCGGTGCCCGCCATTTCATGGGTGCTTTGCAACACCACTGGGCCTTCTGTGCCTGTCTGGGCTTCCTTCCAGGGTCTGTTCTGTCCTTCCAGTGTTTGTTCTGATAACTGTCCTTGGCTCAGTCCCAGTGCGACTTGGCTTCTTCCAGCTCTGATGTGCCAACTAGAGCTGGAAAAGCTTTCCCTACTGATTCACATGCACGATATATGTATATGTTCATAAAAGTCTTGTTTCTCTTACCGACAGTGGTTTGCTGACTGTGCTGAAGAAGCAGGGTTGCTTTTTATACCTTCTGATAAGTTATCTTTTCTTTTGTAAAACACAATATGAGCTTTATGAGATATGATTCACATTCTGTATGGTTCTCCAATTTAAAGTGTACAGAGCACTAGCTTGTAGAAGATTCACAGAGTTGTGCTACCATCACCACAGTACAATTTTAGAACACCTTCACCATCCCAAAAGAAACCTTGTACCCGTTAGCAGCCACTCCCCACTCCTCCCAACCCACCAGCCCTAAGCAACCCCTGATCTCTGTGTCTCCAAGTGGAATCCCACACGATGTGGACTTTGGTGTCCCACTTCTTTCACTCAGCATCCTTTTTTTTTTAGGTTCATTCATGTTGTAGCATAAATTGGCATTCCCTTCCTTTTCGTGGCTGAATCCTGTTTCATTGTATGGCTAGACCACATTTATCCACTCCGTAGTTGAGGAACACGGGCTGCTCTCGCTCTTGCGCTGTTAGGAATGATTTTGTTTTGAACGTTTGTACACAAGTTTTTGTGTGGGCATATTTTTCATCTCTCTTGGGTCTAGACTTAGTCGGGGAATTGCTGGGTCCTATGGCAACTCTGTGTTAAGCCTTTTGAGGAATATTTTCCGGAGTGATTTTGCCATGTTCCAACCCTACCAACTGCGTGTGAGGGTTTCTGTTGGTCCACCTCCTCGTCAGCACTTGTGATTGTCTGGATTCGAGTCTAGCCATCCTAGCAGGTGTGATGTGCCATCTCAGTATGGTTTAAGTACTCGTCTTCCAGTGCATTTTAGGAGTGCATTGCGGAGGATGTTTCTGGGCCTTCTGTGATAGGAGTGTCCCGGTGAACTACAGACCGGCACTTGCCTTCACGGCGCTTAGAGCTTCACATCTGTCCAAAAGTCTTCATTTGGGAAGAAGGTTAACTTGTAACTGAATTCAGTGGCGCTTACAGTGACTCTGGGTCATGGACAGATCAGAAACCCAGGTGGGGTCGGGGAGCTAGGTTAGTGAGATTCACAGGAGGGGTGACGCGAGGATGTCTTTCTGGAAGATGGATGTGCTTTCATCCCTTCCCCCCCCCCTGCGACCACACCCTTTTTTTTTTTTTTTTTTTTTTTTTTTTTGCCCGATACCACAGCTGAAAGATACGTGGAGTGCACTTGGCCATTTTGCTAAACCTCTTCCTCAGTGGAATTGAAAATTAATTCCTTCCAATCTCCGAAGTTAGACAGGGGTCTTGAAATCTCACACATTCTCAGTGCCCTCCATTACTTCTGCAAAAAATTCTCTACTTGGGCTGATGGGAGTGGGCAGGCAGAATTGGCTGGACACCGTATTTTATTTCTTGTCTCCTATTTGCACTACGTTTTTTTGGGGGGGAAATATGGCCATCCATCTTTTCAACCGTTTCTAAGATTTATACTTTGATTCAAAGAATCACTGTTAGCAAGAATGAGAAGTTATTTTTAGTCTCAAAAAAGTACGGTTTTAAGTGGGTGAAAAGTATTCCTCAGTCTGATTTCTCTCGCATAGGGTTGAATATATGTGATTGTAAAGGCCTCCAGGTCTCCTGGAACGTGGTTTTGCATTTAATAGACGCACATGTGGCCCTATCCATAGCCTGACTTGTAGGTGACCTCGCTTTCCTTGGCCCCTCACTTGACTAATCCAGATGGTGGCAAGAAGCTGAGGCCGAGAGAAATGTCTCCACCCAGCAGACCAGGTCCTCAGCATCAAAGACCCCAGACTGCGTGTTTGGTTCAGAGAGCATTCTTCATTCATCAGATAATTTGGAATTATTATTCGGTGCATTATTCTGAAGGAGGTGATCGTGTTTTTCCCTCTAAAAGTGCCTGGCGAGCTCGCTGAAACACATTTTGCTCCCCCCTCACCGCCCCCCCCCCCGGGGTGTCTGACTCAGCAGCCCCGGGGCAGAGAGTCTGCATTTCGCCCGCGTGCCCTGGGGATGCTGATGCTGCGGGTCCGGGACCACAGCGGGATACAGTTCTGCCGCTTGCCCCGGCGTGGATGTGGCCTTCATGAAGGCCGAGGGAGGCCGGTGCACCGCAGCCGAGACAAGACGAACCTTCCAGGGGCTCCGCGGCAGAATTTTCGGCGTCATGCCTTTCATGACCTCTAGCGCGAGTGACAACGCCAGCCGCGTGCGGTCCGCCGCATCCATGCAGGCGGAGATCTCCCCCGGTGGAGGGCACGTGGAAACAGCTCCCGGAGGGACGCCTGGGACTGGGTTGGTGTGTACCTGCCCTCGCAATAGCAACGCTCAGAAACCAGCACTGGCCTCCCTGCGGACACACAGGGCCGGAGGCGAGGCTGCGCAAGCCCCCGGAAGCTCCCGCTGCCCGCGGGGGGGGGGGGGGGGGGGGGGGGGGGGGGCGGAGCTCGGCTCTGCCAAGGCTCACGTGTTCTTTCTCGTTTTGTGTGTGTTGTTCAGGGTGCCAGTGCTTACATTCTGAATTACCTCATGTACATCCTGTGGGCATTGCTGTTCGCCTTTTTGGCCGTCTCCCTGGTGCGCGTATTTGCACCATATGCCTGTGGCTCGGGTATACCAGAGGTGAGTGGTGGCTGAATTTCTTTTGTGCCAATAATGAGAAAAGCAAATACTTACGTAGCACTTAGGTGCCAAGCACAGTCCTGAGCATTTGGTATCTGTTAACTCATTGAGTCCTTACAGTGAGCCTGTGAGGCAGGTTCTGCTGTTTTTCATGCAATGGTTGAGGAAACTGAAGCACAGACAGGTTAAGCAACTTGGCTGAGGTCACACAGCTGGTTGGCTACAAGTTGAGCCCAGCTGTCTGGCTTCAGGATTTATGCTCCGTGTTCAGGATTTATGCGCTTTTGCTTCTCAGAACACTTAAATTCTTGTCTTTGCAAACCAGGCATAACTCTTAAAGCCTGTGGAATCCGAGTTCATTAACCACATACATAAATGCGGCACTTGAGAAACTTTTCAGTGCACCTATGATGTCAGGTGAAAAAGACAGTAACGGAGATTTGTTGCTCGGAACGTTGACTGATGAGTCAACTCTCTTATGAGTCAACTCCCTTGCCACGTTTTGCTCCTCTGGTGACAGGGTAATAGCAATCTCTAAAAAAACGTAAATCCACATTCAAGGGCATGCGCTGTGAATGCACCCCTGTGAGTTTAGAGCTCTTATATCGTCTAGCGCTTCCATGTAACCCGAGTGTGAGGGAGGTGACCTCACTGATAGAGAGGAATGCTTGAGATTAAACTTCAGACCTAGGAGGCTACAATAATGATAGTTGAGCAAGTTCCTCCAAAAGGCCAGACAGTGAACATTTTAGCCAGAAATAAGTTGAAAAGTTCTTATACTGGGGTGTCTGGGTGGCTCAGTCGATTAAGCAACTGATTCTTGTTTTGAGTTCAGGTCACGATCTCAGGGTCGTGAGATGGAGCCCTGCGTGCGGCTCCTCACTTAGCTCAGCATCTGCTTGGGAATCTCTCTCCCTCTCCCTCTGCCCCTTCCCCCTGCTCTCTCTAAAACAAATAAACAAACATGTTTTTAAAAAAGTTCTTATATTTTCACGATAATCAAGCTGGTGCTTCAGCAGCGCCCCTAGAGGTGGAGATGGTGGGTTTAAAGATGCGACCCGTGGTGGCAACAGACCCGCATTGGTGCCTGCTCCCTTGCACCCACACTCTTTGGTGGTACTTGCCAACACAGCCGCTGTTCCAGGCAGTTCTTGGAAAGGGCTGGAGTAATTGAAAGATTGTCAAAAGCAAAGCCCAACGTTGTCCTGTTCCAGGAAAGAGAGAAAAATAGAGTATGTCATGCTGACTTTTTGTTGGTTTGCATTGACATATTGCGGCAGGAACTGGAAGAGCAAGCCGCAGCACCATGCTGTTGCCTTCGTAGAGTCCATTCTGCTCCCGTGCAGCACGGGCATTCCTACAGGTCTCGGGCCGTGCAGCATGGCACAGGCAAGCGCTCCACCCTGCCGGGGCAAACGGCAGCAGGAGCACAACACTCAGAAACTTCATCAGTGACACATGTGAAAAGATAGAAACCTAGGAAAACAGTAGCCCAGGGGCGCCTGGGTGGCTCAGTCGGTTGGGCATCTGTCTTCCGCTCAGGTCATGATCCCGGGGTCCTGGGATTGAGCCCCGCATCGGGCTCCTTGCTCGGCGGGAGGCCTGCTTTCTCCCTCTCCCCTTCCCCTTGCTTGTGCTCTCTCTCTGTCTGATAAATAAATAAAATCTTAAAAAAAAAAAAACCCAGTAGCCCGGTTTACACATGTGAAACAGTTAAGAAACATAGACTCGCTAGCGCACGTGTGACCTAGTAGACGTTGGAGGCCCACACTGTGTGCGTTTTGTGCCTTCCTGCCCAGCTCCGTTCTGGTGGTGCCATTTTCTGTGTAGCTACGTGTTTCTCCCAGATGAAACTGGGCATAAACAGACACGGAATTTACGTTATGCTCTAGTTCTTCCCCAATGCCTGAATCACACTGGAACAAATCTGTGTTTTCAAAACCAGCATTATGGCAGAACGGACTGTGTCGTATCTGGTATCTAAGACCCGAGGCCCCCTGGACGCTCAAGAGCACAGACTGGTGTTGGCCTCTCAGTTTGATGACCCCACTGCCTGACAGTAGGCTTTTTTGGACCCAAGCTGCCTTTCCAAAATGAGCAGGTGGCCAATGGGGAATTGGAAAATTTAAAGCAGCAATAAAAGGGGTGATGGCAGTCCCATCGTCCCCTTCCAAAAACCAGAGACACATGGCTCAGCTTGTGATCTTGTAGACAGACAAGGGGTTTGGACGTGAGCTCTGTCTGGGAGGGGCTGCCTGGACTTGGTCTTCGTCCAAAGTGGGCATCTATTTGTGACAGCTGAACTCGAAAGGAGTTAAATCCAAAGTCGAGCATGATATTCCCTATGTGGGGGACGTGCACGCACACGCTGGTGTGCATGAAACTCAGGAGAGCTGTAGCAAGTGAAAAAAGTGGCAAAAGAATATATAAAGTATGATTCTATTTATACAAAGTCCACAAACAGCCACAGTGAAACCACACACTGTTTAGTGACACACACGTATGCTCAATGTATAAAGGCAGGCAAGGAAATGATTGGGCTCGGGGAGCAGGAAGGTTCCACTGAGGAAGCAAACACAGGGCTTTCATAGGTGCGCACTCTTCTCTGAAATGTGCTGGTGGGCCCATGGGTGCTTGTGTTATTAATACACTTTTAACCATATATTACATGTAACAGATTCATTTCTCCATTTGTGAAAGAGTTCACAATAATCTTTTTTTTTTAAAGATTTTGTTTATTAGAGAGAGAGTGTGCACTAGCGGGTGGGGGGAGGGGAGAGAGAGCACAGAGGCAGAAGGAGAGGCAGACTCCCCACGGAGCAGGGAGCCCCACATCGGGACTCGATCCCAGGACCCTGGGATCACTACCTGAGCCCAAGGCAGACGCTTAACTGACTGAGCCACCCAGGTGCCCCCACAATAATCTTTTTAAGTGCCAGGAACCCCATGGAGGTTTTATAATTAAGTTTTGGTTAGTACGACTCAGTAGTAGCAGAATTCTCACTATTATTATGGGACAGCTTCAAACTCCTGACCTTAGGGTCCAGCTCTTGGAGGAAAGGGACAGAGTAAAAAGGAAATGTAGATAAATGTTTCATGCATAAAAAGAACCTCCTGGGCAAAACCTGGCTAGCTGTGTAAACCGACTTCACTCGAATTGAGATGCAGGCCCATTCTCCCTCATTTTAGCAAAGATACTCACTGAGGTATTTAGAAAATAAACTCTTCGTCCGAGGTGATGTCATGTGACTTGAAGTGTCAGAGTGGACTTGGGCAGTGGTGCCCTTTGGCACGTTTACAAATTGCTCATTCCCCCTAGCATTTGCTTCTGAAACATTTTGATTGCCTGGAATGGACATTCCTTTGGAAACGTTTTATTTTATTTATTTATTTATTTTATTTATTTTTAAAAGATTTTATTTACTTGACAGCGAGAGACACAGCGAGAGAGGGAACACAAGCAGGGGGAGTGGGAGAGGGAGAAGCAGGCTTCCCGCTGAGCAGGGAGCCCGACGCGGGGCTCCACCCCAGGACCTTGAGATCATGACCTGAGCCGAAGGCAGACGCCTAATGACTGAGCCACCCAGGCGCCCCTGGAAACATTTTTAAAAATGCAGACTTAGAGGACATTTATTTTGTGTAATAAATGCTCTTGTTTAAGCTCTCTAAAGCACATTGAAAAGTGTTCTTGGCTATCCGGAGTTAGAAGAAGGCAAGTGTGTCCCTCTTTCTGTTGCTGTTTGCTTTGTTGGTAGAACCCCTGTTGACTCTATAAGAAATCACGTCCTCTTAAAACTTGTTTTGAATTGATGTTTCAGTTCATTACAAAAAGTGAGCACTCTCACAAATATTTATTTACCAGAAAGGTTTTACCTTTAACACCAGCAAGTTGCAAAACCACCCCAATACATCCTGTGAAAGCACTGCCTGATGCAGTCTCTATTAATTCATACTAAGTAAGTGATTAGGTTTTGGCATTTCCCGGGAATGAATTTGCTTTTTTTAGTCCCTAATTTGATCATGACGATTTTATAAAATCATTATAGAGAATTACAAAATACCTATTACATTGTTCATTTCACCACATGTCGTGGCTGGCAGAGGCTCAGGTAATTTAGATGCTTGTAATCTTCTAAATGGTATTACATTCTTAAACTGTACCCTAGGGTCCAAATCCACATTAACTAACTGACAAAAAATTATAGATAATTTTATTCGAGGCAACACAAAAGGGCAGGACTGTGGCAGGCATAATAAAACATCCCTTAAATAAAGAGATCTGCGATCCCCCGAGCATGGGCTCAAATAAGCCAACTGCCACTAGTTAAAGACCACTTTCACCACGAGCAGTCTGTCTGCCATTAGTTAGAGGCTAGTTCAGGAAACACTGTCCGACTGTCTAGCTAGAAGACCTCACTCGTGCTTTAAAGGAAGGAGCTCATTGAGTTCTTGGGAAATGCGTGCCTGCACGCTCACTTGCGTGGTCTTTCTCCGTGAATTCAGAAACAGATCTCTATCAATAATGCCTGAGGTGCAGTTGCTCCATTCATACGCCTTTAAAATTTTGAGGATTAGCTCACTTCACGACCCGCTGCAAATCGCCAAAGGTGACATGATGCCAGAGTGATTTGGGACCGTCCCCTGAGTAAGGAGAAATTAGGAATACCTGTAGTACTCTTTTCAGGAATGGAGCAGTGGTTCTCCACCTGGGCTGCATTTTCGAATTACCTGGGGAGGCTGTTATCGCCAGGTATATCCCATGGCTGTATCCCATGCCTGGGCTACACCTCAGACCAACTGCATCAGATCTCCACAGGGAGAGCCAGTGCTCACTGGTATCTAATTCCCCAGGTGATTCCAGTGGGCGTCAAGGCCTTGAGAAGGGTTTGAGGACTGTAATAGCTTTTTGAGACATTAATTTCTCCGCAGAGCAGTGTCCACTAGGAGGCACTTTGAAGATATGCAAATATCCTGATACTGACAAGAGATAACCTTGTCCCATTGTGTTAACACAGCGGGAAAACCGAAATTGACCACAGATTTCATTGGCTGACCCACTCATCATAGGCTTGTAAATTGCCAGCTCACACAGTGAACATTCACTCCATTTCAGCCAGTTGTGGGAGAGGTGGAGGGTAAAAAATTACCCATTGGTGATACTTCTGTATCCAAAGATAGGGGATTTAGGTAAAGAGGACTCCCAGTATATGAAATTCATCACTGAGATTGGCGGCCAGTTGAATTCTAAAAGCGTAAGGTGAACTGCACCATTAGGAAGAAAGACAGTATTTGCCTTTTTTTTGGCCTTTACAAAATGTGGCAGATCTGAAAATGGAGCAAGATGACTCTACCTGTAGTCAAAGTCCTTCTCAATACCAGAGGGCAGGATTCGACGGAAGGGAAGGAGTTGTCCTGGCGTCAATCATCTTTACGTCCCCTGGAGATGTGTTGTTAGGATGTTGAGCCTCTTCTTTTTCCAGCATCGTGTTAAGAATATTTTCAAGCCTACAGAAAAGTTGAAATAATTGCGCAGTAAACTCCCATACCCCTGGCCTGCAGCAGGGGTCAGCAGACTTTTCCAGTAAAGGGCAGGGAGTCACTATTGTAGGCTTTGTAAGCTGAGAGGCAAAATCTAGCAACTATTCTCAGTAAAAGACTAGTAGTCTTGTTTATAAACTACATTTAAAAAATGTTAAAAGCACCCTTAGTTCATGGGTCATACAAAAGCAGGCAGTGGGCTGGATTTGGCCCGCGGACCATAGTTTGCTGACCCCGACCTACAGCTGAGTTGACATTTTGTTCTATTTGCTTTGTCACAGAGCTAGCCAGCTTTCTGTCTCTTTATCTTGAACTTCCCTCGATAATCAAAAATTAACAGTTAAAATCAACAGATACATGTTTCTCTTCAACACAACAGAGGGTAACATGAACAGGATAAAATGCCATAAAGAAAATGAGACCCTGATAATTACTTCTTCAGTCCTCATTATGATCTCTTACTACTTTAGAAATTCTTTTTTTTCTTGAAATTCTTTTTTTCTTTTAAATATTTCTTTATTTGTGCATGTGAGAGAGAGAGAGAGAGAGAGAGAGAGAGAGTGCGGGGGTGGGGGTGGGGGTGGTGGTGGTGGTGGGAAGGGCAGAGGGAGAGAGAGTCTTAAGCAGACTCTGCACTGAGCATGGAGCCTGACGCAAGGCTCGATCCTGTGACCCTGAGATCAGGACCTGAGCTGAAACCAAGAGTCGGATGCTTAACCGACTGCACCGCCCAGGCGCCCCTACTTTAGAAATTCTTAAGATGTGCTACGCGTTGAATGGTTTCAAGTTAACATTAATATAAAATTATATGTTGTTATAAATTCTGTTAATATGAAATTATAGTCAGATCCAAAACTAAAGTAACTTCTCCTTGGTGTGATCAAGTTGAGTCTAGTGCTGGGGAATTAGTTACTTCCCTCGCTGCGGCTTCAAAGCGGCTCACTCACCCTCGTTCTCCAACCTCTGTTTCAGATAAAGACCATTTTGAGCGGCTTTATCATCAGGGGCTACTTGGGGAAGTGGACCCTGCTGATCAAGACCGTCACCCTGGTGCTGGTGGTGTCCTCCGGCCTGAGCCTGGGGAAAGAAGGGCCGCTGGTACATGTGGCTTGCTGCTGTGGCAACTTCTTCAGCAGCCTTTTCTCCAAGTACAGCAAGAACGAGGGCAAGAGGCGCGAGGTGAGCCGGCTCCGCTCCGGTTTGCAGTGATGGCCTCTTCTGGAAGCCCCGTCCCGGCTCGCCTGCATCGCAGGTTTGCATGGCAGGGCTGGGGGCTTACACAGAGCTCTTTGCCTCACAGGTGCTCTCCGCCGCCGCCGCTGCCGGAGTCTCCGTGGCCTTTGGGGCTCCAATCGGGGGTGTGCTCTTCAGTCTTGAGGAGGTGAGGAGGGGTGGCAGGTGGGGGGACGGATTCGTGGTTTCGGGGGCTGAGGAACATGTCGATGGCTAGCACAGCGGGAGACCTCCATCTCCAACCCTTTGAGGACTGCATTCCAAGGAGTATTGACAAGATTCCTGCAGCTCATTAAGAAGCCACAGTTTTCGCTGTTAAATATGTTTTCCAGTATTATTTTAAAAATTGCCTTTTTTTTTTTTTGCATTTTGCAGTCTCTCTTTCTCCTAATAACTTAATGAGGCATTTCTGGTTTTGGCACCCCGAATGGATCTATTCCAGGGGTCAGCAAATGTTCTCTGCAAAGGGCCAGAGAGTAAATATTCTAGGCTCTGTGGGTCTTCCGGTCTTGGTTGGAACTACTCAGCTTTGTCATTATATCGGGAAAGCCGCCACACACAACACTCACATGATGGGCATGGCCCCATTCCAATAAAACTTTCCTTGTGGATGCTGGAGTGTGCACCTTATATAATTTTCACATGTCACAAAATACTGCTTTTCTTTCTTTTTTTTTTTTTAAAGATTTTATTTATTTGGCAGACACAGCGAGAGAGGGAACACAAGCAGGGGGAGTGGGAGAGGGAGAAGCAGACTCCCCGCTGAGCAGGGAGCCCGATGTGGGGCTCGATCCCAGGACCCTGACATCATGACCTGAGCCGAAGGCAGATGCCCAACCGACTGAGCCACCCAGGCACCCCAAAATATTGCTTTTCTTTTGAATATTTTGAATATCACAAAATATTTCTTTTTGACCTTCAGCATTTAAAAACGTAAAAATCCATTCTTAACTCATGTGCCATATAAATACATTTGCTGGGCCAGGGTTTTCCAACCCTTGACCTATTCCGTTGTCTGTAGAATCAGATCCAGAGGTGTATTTGATTTTAAGAGGGTCTTTGTGACATAAACAAAATTAGGATGAAGTATTTTCATTTCTCTTAAAAAATAGCTCAGACACATCTTGACTAGTGTCTGTTTCACTTTTAGATACTGAGTCCTTTAAATACTTTGTTGGTGCCCCTTGGTGATAATGAACCCTAGCCTGAGGAAGTTAGTACTGCCCATCTTTGGTCCGTGTGACTGTCCCGCTAAGCGCCACTGGGTGGCTGCCGATCAGGGGCTGGGGGCTCAGGGCAGCCCTTTCTTCGGCCAGTCTCATTTTCTCCTTGTTCGTCCCAGGTCAGTTACTACTTTCCCTTGAAGACCCTGTGGAGGTCCTTTTTCGCGGCCCTGGTGGCAGCCTTCACGCTACGATCCATCAATCCCTTTGGGAACAGCCGTCTCGTTCTCTTTTACGTGGAATACCACACGCCCTGGTATATGGCCGAGCTCTTCCCCTTCATCCTCCTCGGGGTCTTTGGAGGCTTGTGGGGAACCCTCTTCATCCGCTGCAACATCGCCTGGTGCAGGAGGCGCAAAACCACCAAGCTGGGCAAGTACCCAGTGCTGGAGGTCATCGTGGTGACCGCCATCACGGCCATCAGCGCCTACCCCAACCCCTACACGCGCCGGAGCACGAGTGAGCTCATTTCCGAGCTATTCAATGACTGCGGCGCCCTCGAGTCCTCCCAGCTCTGTGACTACATCAATGACCCCAACATGACCCGGCCTGTGGATGACATCCCGGACCGGCCGGCCGGCGTCGGGGTTTACACGGCCATGTGGCAGCTGGCCCTGGCGCTGATCTTCAAAATCGTCATTACCATCTTTACGTTTGGCATGAAGGTCAGTGAAGGGGGAAGGAGGGGTTGGGCGGGGGGGACAGTTCATCACCTCCTCGCCAGGGTAAAATGGTGACCGGGGGGGGGGGGGGGGAAACAACTGACCCTTACTGACCGTTTTCTCGTGCCGGGCACTTGACATTCTTTTTAATCACCAAGAAGCAATGCTTTTGATAAGCAACACGTCTGAGAACTAGATTGTAATCACTTTACAAGTGAAGAAGCGAAGGCTCAGAGTATATCATCCGCACAGAGCTGTGTGTAGCTTGAGGAATTTTCATAAAATGCACGCTTGTGTGTGTAATGAGCACCCAGGAGCCGAAGCAGAACATTTCAAACCCTGCAGAACCCCTGTAGCGTTCCCCTACTATTGCTTTCTGTGTGGGACTTTTATGATTTGTTTCATTTTAAAAAGGCTAAGAAGCTGTGTACTTGAGTGTGTAATGGTCAAACACAAACCTGAATTTTTGCTTTAGGAGCAGGGGTGGGTGGACTTTATTAAGCAGCCAATTGTCTCTGATCTGCCATCTCCAAGCAAAGGGATTATTTGTGTGTCTGAGGAAGATGCTAGCAGCCTCTTCTGGTGCCTGCTGGGAGAAGTCTACTTTGCAGTTACAGGGAGTTAAATGACTAGGAATCGGGGGTGGGGGGGCACTCAGAAAGGAAGTTTCTTCTTCAGGAACATCCCAAAGTCTAGAAATCATCCTCGAGGATCCAAACTTACCTGGAATTTGGTTATAAATCCACTTCCATCCTCAGCTCGATGACCATCTTGGGCAACTCCCAGGCAGGATTGGCGATCACTTGCCGTGTCCATGAACATGGAGAGTCGGGCACATTCTCTAGCCCATGTCCGATCACTCGATAAATGAAAGCGCATTTCCATACCGCAAAATGTGAAACACACTGCCGCCAAGATCTTCTAGTTTACTACATAGACCTTCTGGTTCTTTGCTGCCTTTCACCGGGCATGAAAATATTCAGAATACTTCTTGGAAAGTAGTTCGTTAGGAAGAGGGAATGGCCCCTGTCTCTCTGGCAGGTGTTGGGCCATTGTATCCTCAACGGGACAGGGAGCCCGTGAGAAGCTTCCAAAGGTGCTGGGCAGCGGCACCGAGCTGCTTGGTTTGACTTGTGAACAGTCGCGTGCCTTTCTCTTCCATTCTCATGCTGCGGCTTGACATTTAACTTTAAAAAAGCTAATGTGAATGATTCGCAAGGGGAGAGAGAAAGTGGTGAGTACACTTCGAATGTTATTTGCAGTGGGGCTTCTCATTCTTTAATCCCCAGCGGGAGAACCAGGCCCCCTCTTGAAGGAGAGGAAACGAAAGTGTAAGACTGCATTCTGTCCAAGTCACAGTAGCTGGGACTGACTAAACGGGTGAAGCCACTTGTCCCGCTTTGTCCTCGTGGACCTCCATTTGGAAGCGTTGCCCCTCCTCTGAAGACAAGCGCAGGGCGAGCGTGTTGTGGGGGGCACGACTGCTCACCGGGAGTGGGGAAGCGGGCATGCAGACCTTCCCTCATACTTCTCTTCCCTGTGTGCCCCTGGAGATCCCCTCAGGCCTCTTCATCCCCAGCATGGCCGTGGGAGCCATGGCGGGCAGGATGGTGGGGATCGGCGTGGAGCAGCTTGCTTACCATCACCATGACTGGATCGTCTTCAGGAACTGGTGCAGGCCCGGAGCAGACTGTGTCACCCCCGGACTTTATGCCATGGTGGGAGCTGCGGCCTGCCTAGGTACAGGCACAGGTGGGCCGGGCCGGGGCGGGCCGGGCTGCAAGGAAAGCTGAGCTAGGCCAAGCGCCGTCGCCAGGCTGCGCTGGCTTCGGGCCCCGGTGAGAAAGGAGGACATGGGCTCGAGTGCTGGCATTCTCAGGATAGGCCAGGTTGTGTTGCTGTCACAGGTAAGGCGCTAAATCTCAGTGGCTTAACACACCAGGGCTTAGAGCTTGCTCATCATATGCAGTCGGTTCTCATTATTTGTGGAGCCCATATTTGGGGATTTGCCTACGTGCTAAAATGTGTTTGTGACCCCTAAGCCAATACTCGCGGGGCGTTGGCTGTCATCCTCGGACATGCGCAAGAGCAGTGGAAAGTGTAAGGTGTTGTAGCACGTATGTTCCCAGCTCCGGGGGAACGAGGTGTGAAGGCCCACCCTCTTGTTTTCGCGCGGATACCCTACACAAGTATCCTTTTCGTGGTCTAGTCAGTGTCATGTTTTTTTGGCATTTTGTGAATGATTTTGTTGTTTTAAATGGCCCCCAAACATAGTGCTAAAGTCTGTCTGGGGATCCTAAGCACAGGAAGGTGGGATGTGTCTTACGGAGAAAATAGGCATGTCGGAGAAAGTCTTCTCAGGCAGGAGTTACAGTGCTGTTTGTTGGCTGTGATGAGTTCCACGTTAATGAATCATGTACATGTATTAAATAAGGTGTCTTTAAACAGAAATACACATGAAATAAGATTCTGTATTGATGGGTTGACCAAAATGTTGTGAGCAGAAGCTCGCAGGAACCTAACCGTGTGTTTCCCCTAGGGCAGCGATTCAGTATTTGCTCATTCAGTGTTTGTGGCAACTTTGTAGATCATAACTACCACGAATAATGAGAATTGGCTCTGTGCGTGCGTGCGTGCGTGCGTGCGTGCGTGCATGCGTACGTGTGTGTGTAATGTAAGTTAGTAGAGAGCCTTTCTCCAGTCAGTCATTCAGGGCCCCGGGTGATGACGGAGTCCCCACCATCTTCCAGCTGGGCCATCCAGAATAGTGGTTTCAACGGGGGGGCAGTTGTGCCTCTCAGGAACACCGGGCAATGGAGGAGACATTTTTGGTTGTCACACCTGCAGGGCTGGTGCTACTAGCATGTAGTGGGTGGTGGCTGGGGATGCTGCTAAACATCCTGTAATACACAGAACAGCCCCCACATCGAAGAATGATCCAGCCCCAGTTGTTCCTAGTGCTGAGATCGAGAAACTCCAGTTTAAGCTCATTGGAAGACTAGTACGAGTTGGTATGGATTCTTCTTCTAATACCAAGGGATACAAAGTTGGGCCCCTCTCCTGTCCATAACCACTAAGCATCTCTATAGTTTCCCAGCTTACGGGGTTTTGGAACAGAGCCACAATTGCTGTGTCGGAAACCTGCATAGCCCACATAGGATCCACTCACCAAAAAGCCAGGCCTGTGGTCTTGGGTGAAGAGACCACCCAGTTGTCTTCTCACTGAAGAAAAGCCCCCCAGTCAGATGTGGCTTATGGCCGCTGGGGCAAGGCTGCATTCAGCAGAGCCTGGCCGGCGTTTCAGAGGTCTGCCATGGGCAACGTGTAGGACCGTCTCTTCAGAACAGGTGTCTGGAGAATTTAGAGCCAGCTTGTCCATTTCCATAGTTCGTGCCCTCTTAGGGTCTGGAGTTGAGTTTCAGAATTGTATTCCTGTCTTCGGTTGCAGGTGGAGTTACCCGGATGACGGTGTCATTGGTGGTCATCATGTTTGAATTAACGGGCGGTCTGGAGTACATTGTGCCCTTGATGGCGGCAGCCGTGACCAGCAAGTGGGTGGCCGATGCCTTTGGGAAAGAAGGCATCTACGAGGCTCATATCCACTTAAATGGGTACCCATTTCTGGACGTGAAGGATGAGTTCACCCACCGCACACTGGCCACCGACGTCATGCGGCCACGGCGGGGCGAGCCGCCTCTGTCCGTGCTCACCCAGGACAGCATGACCGTGGAGGACGTGGAGACGCTCATCAAGGAGACCGACTACAACGGCTTCCCTGTGGTGGTCTCCAGGGACTCCGAGCGCCTCATTGGGTTTGCCCAGAGGAGGGAACTGATTCTCGCGATAAGTGAGTAGAGAGGGGGACGCTCGGGCTGTCCTAAGAGGCCAGTGGCCTCCTTTGTCCCCCCTGAATTCCCAAAGAGGTTAGAGAGACTGCAAAGGTCCGAGGGCTTTAAGTCGGGGCTCTCACGCTTTCTCGCGCATATTCCTATCCCCTGGGGATCTGGTTAAAATGCGGATTCTGGCTCAGTAGGTTTGGGGGGATGGGGGCAAGGCCGCATTTCTCCCAAGCTCCCGGTGAATGCTGCTGCTGCTGCTGCTGCCGCCGGTCCCCAGGCGCTGCTGTGAGGAACGATGTCTAGGGAGAGACCCGCTTGGCTGGACAGTGACAGCGGCGTTTGCACGCGGCCTCTGGGGCTCGCCCCTGCTGGGTGGCCCGCCGCTGCCGCCTTTTTCGGGAGTTGTCAGGTGAAGCTGGGAAGGATGGAGGCGGGGGAGCCCGGACTGGCCCCGGCGAGCTGCTCTCAGAGACAGACTTTCAGGCAGGCTTCCCGACGTCGAGGGTGAGTTCTCCGTCCCAGCCGCCTCCCTGGGCACCGCACAAGCCCTTCGCTTCACTTGGCGGCGCTATGTCCCACTCAGTACTCAGAGGCCCGCGGGTCCGTTCCGTGTGACGCTCCCCCCCCCCCCCCCCGGTGTGCCAGCTGGAAGCGGCGGGGCCGAGGGGCAGGCTGTTGGGCCGGGAGAGGAGCAGGCGGGTGATGCCCGGGTGCGGTGTGCCCAAGGCAGTGGCTCAGAGAAGCAAGGCTGCCGGGTCCGCAGCCTGGGGATGCCTGCCCTGCAAGGGAGGTGGGAGGTAGGAGTCCCAAGATAAAGGCCTGGGTGTGAGCCACGTGGAGACCTGGGAAGAAGGACAGCAAGCCACGGAAACCCCCTCGCGGTGGAGTCCGTCCTGCGCTCGTGAGGCGGCAGGGACCAGCAGAGCCCCCCCGCCCCAGGGTGCCGTCCCGCTCAGCCCGCCTGCTGCCGTTGATCGCCCCATCCCGGCATCTCACGGCCGGCTGGGGCCCACGACACGGCTCGTTTGGACGCTTGATGACTTTACCACGTATGTCGCCTTCCAGGGTGTTTAAGAAGTTCGCCGGGGTGGGACGAGCCCGGGTAGGATTGCCGCACGCTCTACTGGGAACACACCTTCACCAGACGACCCTTTGCTTATCCCTGCCCTTGGTTAACTATTTCTGACGCGCCCTCTCAATTTCTGAAATCTCTTTGTGATGTTAAATAGCTTTTCAAATATCTTTAAAGTATCTTCATCAAAGGCTTTATAAAGATAAGTTTGGATAATAAAAAAAAAATAAGTTTGGATAAGCCACATCCTCTAATTTTAGTTTGTTGCTCAAACGTATTTACCTCCCCCAAGGCAACAACTGGGTTTGTATTTTAGACCCGATAGCACATTCGTGCGTATGTGTTCAGTGATGCTTGTCTTTATTATAAGTCCTGTCGCTTAACAGGTAAGTGCCTTTGGGCGTAAATATTGCCTTATAAATAATGAGGTTTGCTTTAAGCCGTGTGAGCAGGGTTGGGTTTGTTTTAAAATAATGTAATCAGCAGCCTTGAAAAATTTATGCAGTCCCTCAAGTCTTTTAAGCAAAAGCTGAAATTTAAAAACTAAAGTAACATCACTGGATCCGTTACCTATTGTGCAGCTCCGGGCACACCTGCTAAGAGACAGCTTACTAATTTTGCTGAAACCCATTACTGTAATCAAGTGGGAAGCAGTAATTGTCATCAACCGGGCAGTGAAGAAATTTAGGCTTGCCGACGGAGCGTGCTCTTAGAAGCTATGTTTGGAATGTCTGAAGAGGCAACACGCCGTGTAAATAATACCTGTATGCTTTCAATCAGACTGATAATAGTATAGAAGCTGCTGTTGACGTGGTTTGTGGAAAGGCAAGGGGTGTTTCACTCTAAGCAATCAGAAAAGCTGTTTCCCTGATCTATGGAAATAGCAGAGTCCCAGTACCCTGGTGGAGAAATTGGTGACCTGTATTTGCAGAATTATGGGGTCTTTCGTGATTCTAGAAATATGACTTTAGCATTTATCTAGTGACCGTCTCATGCCAGTTTCATTTTCAGGGGAATTAGGAGCAAAGATTATAGATAGGTAGAACCAAGATAATTTGAACAAGAATGGTAAATGAGGCAAATAAGGGTTTTTCTTATACATCATGTTAAAATTTGTAAGCGACTGAGGCACCTGGGTGGCTCACTCGGTTAAGTGTCTGCCTTCCGGCTCACGTCATGATCTCGGGGTCCTGGGATTGAGTCCTGCGTCGGGCTCACTCCTCAGCGGGGAGTCTGCTTCTCCCTCTGCCCCTTCCTCCTCCTTGTGCTCTCTCTCTCTCAAATAAATAAATAAAATCTAAAAAAAAAAAAAAAAAAGAAAGAAAATTGTAGCAACTGCTCACGTGAAGCTGAAAATGGTTTGGTTTCCAACCATCTCTGGAATACCAGACCATAGCCGATGTCCTTGTTAGGGAGCGGTTACCCCACCTAGGACATGTGGCGCGCTTCCCCATCACATTCTGACACATGGGGCCATGTGTGACCCATGTGCAAATTCCCGGTAAATGGGACTTTGCCTCTCGGTGCTATTTGCAAACATGAGGCTCTTTCTGTGCTCAGCAGGGCTCAGACTCTTCTAGTCTTGAATTCTGCAATTAGGTGAGGACCGGTTCAGAGAGGACTCAGCGGGAAGCCGCAAAGATGATTAAAGGGATGGAAAGTTAGAGTCACAGGCAAGAGCTAAGGGAACCCTCATTTTTTTTTGTCTGGTGGATGATTTAATGATGGCTCTCCAGCATGTGCAAGATGCTTACTTGCAGAAAGGGATCTGCGTCCAGAACTGAACAAAGTGTCAGATCTGTTGGAAGGGCTATTTAGGGATAAGGCGGTTTCTTCCTGGGAGGGCTGTTCATGATTGGAATAGGCCACGGAGAACAGTGGTGTCGTCTGCTGGGGCTTGAAACACACGCACAGAGGGACTTTTCCGTGCTGCAGTAAACTGTAACTTAACCATAAAATCATCTGGTTGTTCTTCTAAATAGTTTTTATTTTATTTTACTTTTATCACATCTTCTTTGTACTGACCACCACTACAGTTGCTTTCAGTTTTCCACTTTAACATTTTTAGTTAATGACATCTGTTACATGGAAGCATTTTTGATGAACAGGATGATAAGAGTATTCTCTCTCTAAAAATATGATGACTCCAAAGTAGAGCTTCTCATCCTTAACACTGTTGACATTTGGGGCCGGATCATTCTTTCCCGTGGGGGCTGTCCTGTGCACCGTAGGATGTTTAGCAGCATCCTTGGTCTCTGACCACTAGGTGCTAGTAGCAACACCATCTCCCAGTTAGGACAACCAAATATGGCTCCAGATGTTTCCAAATGTCCCCTGAGGGTCAGGGCAGCATTGCTCCCGGTTGAGAACCATTGCTCTAAAAGCCATGGGAATAGCTTCCTGAATATGTGATTATTTCCGGCCTTAAAATTTCTTGGTCTGTCATAGTTTGTGAAATTTACTTTACCAGCACTCTGAAGTCCCCTCTCTGTGCTTGGCGTTGCCATCGTATTGTCCACTAGAAAAGTGGAAGGTACCTTAGCAGGTACTCACAAAATGTATCTCATTTTTCAGGAGCTGTGGCCACTGATACTAGTTCTGGTACAATAGATAACAAACCTCTTGTATTAAGAACAGCTTAACCTTTAAAACAATTAAAAGTGAAGTTTGTTACATTCTTATTTGCTTGTTTTAACATTTTTTTATTACTATGTTATGTTCATCACCGTACATTACATCATTAGTCTTTGATGTAGTGTTCCATGATTCATTGTTTGTGCATAACACCCAGTTCTCCATGCAGAACATGCCCTCTTTAATACCCATCACCAGGCTAACCCATCCTCCTGTTTGCTTGTTTTAAAGATTTTATCTATTCATTTGAGAGAGACACAGAGAGAGCGCAAGCAGAGGGAGGGGCAGAGGGGGAGGGAGAAGCAGAGTGCCTGCTGAGCGCTGAGCTCTGAGCTCCACGTGGGGCTCGATTCCAGGACCTGGAGATCATGACCTGAGCCGAAGGCAGACGCTTAACCGACTGAGCCACCCGGGCGCCCCCGTTTTTTAAAAAGCAATACATATTCATAGAATATTGGGGAAATCAGAAGCAAAAGGGAAAATAAAAAAAGGCACCCACTTTCCCAACAGCATAGAAGGCCATGGTTAATATTTGGTGCATTTCCCTCTTTATCTTCTGGGTCTTCTACATACGTAAACATTGGGCATTTTGGGGGGGGTTTCTTTTCCAACACAGGCTTCCCTGAGTCCCTGGGGTCTGGGAGTCTACACTCTTGGAGCGCTGGATCATCCCCGGGGTGGGGAGTTGGCTTAAGCTTTCCTACAGGAACTATTTCTTGTGCACCCACCGTGTGCTGGCACTGTTCTAGTCGCTGGGAGGACTGGTTGGGGGGGGGTCGGGGCAGGAGTCAGCCTCCGCTCTCTGTGAGCATATATGCTGTAGTTTGTCGCAGGCATTGTGGTGACTGATGAAGATTTCCCGTCCAAACCGGGACTAGATGTTTGACCCTAGCAGAGAGAGGCAAAAAGCGTTCTTGCTGGTTCTTCCATTCGTCAGCTTTTGGCCTGTATGTAGCACCCCCGCTCGCACCGTTGGAAGCGTTCAGATAAGTCTTGCTAGTAGAGTTCCAAAGTGGCCTAGCCGAGCCCTTCCAGAGAGAGGTGCAGTTGCCACTCTTGGAGTAGCAAGGAACATGGCCCACATCTCCGGCTCTGAGCCCAGCTGGGGCCTTCGATGCTTTGCGGCAGTGAACAGCTCGTGGGCTTTCCTTCGCAGTGTCTCCTACGTGAAATAGGCTCTGTTCCACACGGCAGGCAGAACCAAGTCCGCTGACATTTAGTAGAACTCACTCATTCATTCACCTGTTGATTGATTAATGCATGCATTTGGCAAATAGCAGTTGTGTGCCTACTCTATAGTAGGCATTGTCCAGGCGCTGGGAATGTACTGGTGAGCAGGAAATCACTGAACTAGCTGCTGGGAGAATCAGGGCTTCTAACCCAATCAGGAGACTCAGAGGAACTAGACGGTGGTTATTTATTTCGACAAGTGGATCGACAGTTTACTCAATTGTATTTGGTTTTAGGAGGGGTTCAGCAAATCGTGTGTTCAGTACTTGATTGAGGTTTGTGGCTTGATCCAGTCCTGATGAAGACTGATCCTTGATCCAGTCGACCTCATTGTTGAAATAGATGGGTTCCTGTCACGTGGGACTGTTAGAGAATTCTCGGTCTGCGAGAAGGAGCAGCGCCTAAGTACGTGTTGATGGTTGCCTCCTCGCCTCCGTGCTCTGGGCCAGAACTGTGGTGATTTAGGAGAGAAATGTGCGGTGTGTATCACGTAGCATCCACACTTGAAAACATGTTGTGCCTCAGCGTCATCTGGTATTTGTGGTTGAATCCTATCCCATTTGATGTAACTACATTTAACCTGACCCACATAATGTGCCGGCATTTGCCCAGCGGGCCCACTGTTCCTCTTTTAAACAGAGACCCTTTTTCAAACTCAGCCTGACCCCGAATGCTGCCAGTTTTCCATTAGAGTACTCTATTGCAATAAACGGCCTTAGAGCAGGCAGTTAGATTTTTATTTTTCAAAGAACAATATCGGTGAATGGTAGTCTTTGAGGAGGCAAGAAATGTATTATAGAAACCAGGATCCATTTTAAGGCAAGCCTCACTGTACATTTTTCCCAACCTTTTCCCATGAACCAAAAGAAAGATTAAAATTCCAACAGAAGGAAAATCGCCTTGGAGAAATATCTTGAGACCGATGGATTTATTTCATGTGTGACTTAAAATAGCCTGGGTTTCTAGTACTGCATAAAGCTGTATTTCTAATGAGTTCCTGTTACCCTACTTTTCTTCGGCTTGCTTTTGCATGTCCTTGCCTACAGATAGAAAGAAGCTAATTGTTACCATAACGGTTTTACTATCTTTCTTTGAGGAATCCACAAAATGGTCCATTTTTAAGAGAGGAGATCCAAGAGGTGGGGGGAATGTGGCTTTTCTGGAGTTATTTCTTTGGTCCCAAGGGGCATATTTGGGATTAAGCTGCATTTCTGGGCTGTGAGCCTGGGATGGTCCTATTGGTTTTTGTTCCTTTCAGGATTCGTAATGCCATTTGGGCCAGTTAAAGGTCAGTTTGTTTAAAAAAAAAAAAGAAAGAAAGAAAGAAAGAAAAGAAAAGAAAAAAAAAAAGGAAAAACAACTTACTTGAGGTCGTTGGGCAGCTAAGCGAGGTTTCTTGTCATGTCCAACTTGAGCCCATGGTGAGGTGAGCGAGTGTTAGGAAAGCAAGGGTAGAGGGCCCTGGGCCTTTTGGGTGCCCCGGAGCCCAGGAGGAGGCAGTGCATTCTCCTAAAGAAGTCACCCTGCTCAGGCCCACTTGTCAAAACTTTGGCAATGAACGATTGGGTCACAGCAGGGGGACCCTTGCACGGCATTAGCTTAAGGGAGATGCCAATTTCACAGATGTTTGGCTGAAGCTCTTCATTAAGAACGTGGCATTTGCCCTCTGAACCCCTTCTCTGTGGGATTCTAGGATGCAGATAGAGGGAAAGCGTATGTTCCTGTGGGTGTGGGCTGGAGGGAGTTGCTAAGCAAGGGCCTCTGTGTGGCTAACTGTTCTGCTCACCCATTCTAGAGAATGCCAGACAGAGGCAGGAGGGCATCGTGAGCAATTCCATCATGTACTTCACGGAGGAGCCCCCTGAGCTGCCGGCCAACAGCCCGCACCCCCTGAAGCTGCGGCGCGTCCTCAACCTCAGCCCGTTCACGGTCACGGACCACACCCCCATGGAGACGGTGGTGGACATCTTCCGGAAGCTGGGGCTCCGGCAGTGCCTGGTGACACGGAGTGGGTGAGTGCTCTGGCCGGACTCCAAGGAGAACAAGACGAATGAGTCACGGTCTCTGTCCCCGGGGGCCTCGCGGGGCAGCCGACCTCCCGGTGGGGCTGCTGTCCGGCCCGAGGCTGAGGGTTTGAGTCAAAAAGGGGAGGAGCCAAAGGAGAAGGATTTGGGCTGCTTCTCTGCGGGCCCAGCCCCCGCCCCGGGTGACACTTGGCTCGGGGAGAAGGGACAGCCTGTTGTGCTGTCACGGGCTCCGGGCAAGCCTCCGCATGTCGGCGCGGCGCGGACGCGGGCAGTGAAGGGCCCAGGCTCGCGAGGAGACGAGGGCGCGCTCACCGGGCGCACCTAGTAAGACGGAGCGCAGCCTCTGCCCGGTGAGTGCTTAGGAACTACGTAAATGCTACGATACCTAGATCGCTGTACCTTGAAGAAGTGCCGAAGTTTTTTGTAGAAGTGGGTACCGTAAGGGCTGCGGCTTGCGAGCTGTGTCCGGTGGAACCCGGGGCGCCCGCGGGCTGGGGGCGCCAGCGTCCCGAGCCGTCAGAAATCACACGGAACTTTTGACTCCCCCCAAACCTAAGTACTGGTAGCCTGCTGTTGACCAAAGCCTTACCGATACCATGAACGGTGGATTAACACACATCTTGTCTGGAAGTGTACTGTATACTGTATTCGTAGAGTAAGGATGCCAGATGAAATGTGATTAAGAAAATCATAAGGAAGAGACAATACATTTATGGTACTGTCCTGTATGTTTTGAAAAAACCTCTGCACGTAAGTGGACCCATGCAGTTCAAACCGGTGTTGTTCAGGGGCCAACCGTATTCCTGTGCCCCTGGGTTCAGCTGGGGGCAGTTTTCTGCATTCACCTGGAATTTCTCATGGATGACATGACCCATAAGCAAATGTGAAGTTCACATTATGCTCAGATTGTTCCCTAATACAGCAATCTGTTCAGAACAACCACACGTTTTCAGAACAACCGTTCCCGACGAGCTGGGAGATCTGGTGGCCCCCATGGCTTTGTCTCTGCCGAGGCAATATTACTTTCGCTTTGTGTTACCGCAAGCCAGGAAGCTAGCATTGCAAAGATGGAGGGTTCATGGTGGCCTGAGAGGTGCCGTGCCCCAGGGGCCCTTCTTTGGGCTCAGAGGTACACCCCAAATCCCACGGCTTCGGAGGCTTGGGTAGAGGAGGAGACTGGCTCAGTCAGGGTAGCCTGGAAGCTAGGGTTGTCCGCCCAGCATATTCCTCTATAGGCTGACGGGAGGAAGTGGGCTGGGGCTGTGGAGACCTTGGCACCCTAACCGTGTCGAGGCCATAACTCTCTAACGTAGTTTACACCGTGGAGCCCATGCTCCAGTTCATCCAAGCAGTTCCCAACCCGGGTGATTTTGCCCCCCAAGATTTTGGATGTCCCAGCTGGAGAGAGGGGATGCTCCTGGCCCTTAGTGAGTAGAGACCGGGGATGCTATTCGAGAGCCTGCAGTGCACGGGACGGCCCGCGTTGCAACGAAGACTCACTGGCCCAGGTCACTCGCTCTGGATCTCAGTGACTGTGGACTAGGTGCCCGTGAACAGCCAAGTGAGCCCTCCTTACTCACTCGCTTCCTTCCTACTGTGCTGGCTGTGCAAGGGGCCGAATGTGCACACTGACCCAGAGGACGCCTAGCCCCCACGACAGGTGTCCTCAGCTCTGACTGCAGCTAGGGGAGTGTGTTGCACATGGGAGGGACAATCGGTAAGCAACAAATAAATGTTTGGGGCTAGAGATCACTTCTGCTGGTGATTTTTAAAGGTACTCAGTGGGCTGCCGAACTCCCCCAGAGGATTAAAGCTGCAGGTTAAAGCCAGAGTGCTGGGGCCACTGCAGTTACTGATCCCTCGGGTCTGGGAGGGGCCTGCGAATCCGTATTTCTAGCAAGCTCCCGGGTGCTGCTGCTGGTCGGGGACTCCACTTTGCCAAACGCTCTAGCCCATTTACATACCTGAATTTCCAGCGCCCGGCATAAATACCACCGTGATCACCCGTGGCGTCTCAAGTGCATAGCAGTTTCTCTTTTCCTTTAAAATAATAATCCAATGTCAGTTATCATTGGAATTTCCAGTTCTGGCAGGAAATTCTGCCCTTAACGCCCGCTCACACCTCACGCAGCCCCATGAGGTTTTCCTGTGAAGATCAGGGTGCCGAAATTGGCTCCGAATGTTCAGCGAGAAAACAAAATCGCACTCTCTCTCGCTCTACATATTTTAAACAAACACAGATGCTGATACGTTACTGCTGGCAAGGGGATCCTTGTTTGCGGGCCTTTCATCTCCTTGGGCTTTCAGCCAGGGCAGGCATGTCTTGAGCCAGCTTGCGTTTTTGATGTATTCCGTCACCATGTGCCTTCCCTGCTCGCGTCGAGAGCCCCAGCTCGTCCCGTGGACCTGCATCGTCTGCAGGATTTCTCGGGGCCTGGGCTCCAAAGGTCATCGTGAAACCACACCAGGAACCACGGAAGGCTTTGTGCCCCGAAGGCCCCGAGTCTACGGAGCCTCCGGTGGCTAAGCCTGCATTTGGGTGCAGTCTTCCCCACAGAGATTCTCGACCGGCAGAGCGGGCGGGGGAGGTTGAGTCAGCTTTCCCCAGGCCTGCTAGGTGGGCCCCCAGGACTTAGACGGGGTGGCCTTCTCAGAAGAGCCCGGCTATTCTAATTAGATATGTTCATGGTCATAGATTGGCCGTTTATCATTCCCTCGATTCACTTGAACTGCCACCCAAAGGGGCTGGAAGTTCAGACACTTGATTTAATAGGACACGTCGCGCCACTAAGGATCTCTGCTGGATTTGATGTTGCGTCCTTCCGGGTGGATGTTCAGCTTTCCTCTTTTGCAAGAATTGTTCTAAGCCAAGACCGCTCTGAATTCGTATTTCCCCAGAAACGTTGTGGAGTAGCTTGACTTTCCCGTGTTATAGTTACAGAGCTTTAAGAGAACGTCGTCCAGACTGCTCCAGGGTGAAGGAAGGCAACAAGACCAGGCTTTACAGATACGGGAGGGGTGTGTGTGTGTGTGTGTGTGTGTGTGTGTGTGTGTGTGTGTGTGAGATAGCAGAGTCCTCATGGCTTTGCAAACACTAACAAGTCCTACTTTTTCAAAGTAACATTCGCTTCATCACCCTCTTTCTGGGTGTCTCTGGCTGAGACCCGGCAAAGGCTCAAAAGGTGTCTAAACAATAATAAAGCCAGGGAGCTCGTCATCTACTAGGGAACACGGACATAATCCGATTTGGGTGGCGTTACCCAGGTGTTCTAGAGGGCAAGGTCCCGAGCCAGGCTTTCAAGGAGAAAATGGCAAAGGACAAAAGAGCAGTGTCAGTTGAGAGGCTGTCTGCTAGTTGGCGATCGCCAGCAGCAGAGGGCCCCCCGCCCCCCACAGAGGACCGTCCCTTAGCTGCCCCTGCTCCGTGGACCCCGCTGCTCACGCTGCCTCCCATTTCTCCTCCGACCCCGGCTCTCTTAGTGGCGCATTACAGGGACAAGCTGCTCGCCTTTTTACTGTCCCTTTTTGATTTTAAATGAAGTGGAAGAACTGTGTGGACTGAATTGTGTCCCCCCAAATTCATATGTTGAAGCCCCACATTCCACCGTGACTGGGTTTGGAGATGGGGTCTTTAAGGAAGTAATTAGAGTTAAATGAGGTCCTCGGGCTGGGGCCCTGATCCGATCAGACTGGCGTCCTTACAAGGACAGGAAGAGGCAAGAGGCAACAGGGATGTGCGGGCCCAGGGAGAAGGCCACGTGAGGACTGCGAGCCAAGGAGAGCGGCCTCTGGAGAAACCCAACCCGCCAGCACCTTGGTCCGGGCCTTCTGGCCCCTGGGACCGTGAGAACGGTCATCTCTGTCGTCAAGCCACCCGGCCCGTGGTGCTTCGTTATGGCCGCCTCCGCTAAGTCAGGACTCCGACTCCGCTTGGCCGGTTTAGTAGAGCAGCATCTTGTTTTATGGGACATCTTCAACCTCATTGCATTTTGATAAATTTTAGAAATGTGTTTAAAGTAATACATGAACACAGTTGAAGCCAAGTAGCTCTAAACGGCTGGACCAGAAAGCAGTTCCTGGTTTTAGCCTTTTGCACCAGCACCCCTCTCCTTTCAGGGGACCACTTTTCTCCCACAAGGGTTTGTTTTCTTTAATTAATAGACTATTTTTTAGAGCAGTTTTGGGTTTATAGAAGAATTGAGCGTAAAGTACAAGGTTCCCATTTACCTAAACTCTCTTGTCCCCTCCATTTCCCTTATTAACATCTTGCATTTGTTGTGTCTGTTGCCTTTGATGAACTGATACTGATACGCTGACTCGGGTCCCTAGTTAGCGTTAGGGTTCGCCCTCGGTGTGGTACGTTCCGTGGGTTCTGATAAATGGAGAATGACCTGTGTCCACCGTTCTGGTATCACACAGAGTGGTTTCTCTGCCCTAAAAATCCTCTGTGCTCTCCCTGTTCATCCCTCCTCCCCTCCCTCCGACTCAGGTAACCACTGATCTCTTTACTGTCTCCCTACTTTTGCCTTTTCCAGAATGTCCTAGAGTTGGATGTGGCCTTTTCAGACTGGCTTCTTTCACTTAGTGATATGCACTTAAAGTTCCTCCGTGGCTTTTCATGGCTTGACAGCACGTTTCTTTTTAGCGCTGAATAATATTCCCTGGTCTGGAGGGACCACAGTTTGGGTATCCATCCACCTACTGAAGGACATTCGAACCTTGGCAGCTATGAATCAAGCATCCGTCTTCTGCGAGTTAAGGAAATTATTTTAGATCACCACTAAACTGTAATTATACGAGATTAACAATGACTCAATATATCGTTCAATATCCAGTGCGTATCCAGTTTCAACCCAGAACTCTTTCGGGGCTCACACACTGCATTCGGTTGTTTTGCCCCTGTCGTCTTTCATCTAGAACGGTTTCCTGCCCTTTTTTTGTTTATTTATGACACAGATTTTTTTTGAAGAGTCCAGATCAGTAGTCTCACATTCTGAATCTGATTGCTTCCCCGTGGTTTGATTTGGTTGAAGTAGTTTCTGGCGACATGCCAACATAGATGACGTCACAATGTCAGCTTTTCCAGCCTTGTTGGTGATAAGCTCTGCCACTTAGATAAGGGGGTGGTGGCCAGAGCCCTCCATTGTAAAGGGACATTTTTCTCTCTGTACGTAATCTGTGGAGGGATCCTTTGAGACCAGGTGAATTTTGGGTTTTCCAGCAACCGTTTACCCAGTGGTTTTGGAATCCATGGATAATTATTGACTAAACTAATTATTATGTTGGGGGTTACAGAATGTCGATTTGCTAATTCTGTCTCGCTTTTGTACATTTCCCCCTGTTTTTTGGATCATCACGGTAGAGTCCTGACACTTTCAGCGCTTTGACATCCATGCTTTTCAAGTCCCCTTTTGCAGTTTTCCTCTCTCCTGCAGATGTTCCCATGAGATAGAGGGGGAACAGGTGGTACCCGCTGTCTCCCCCAGGGTCATAGATGGGCAAACTAAAACCAGAAAACAGTCACCTTTTCAGGGTTGGTCACGGTCCAGTGTGGTCAGGGACAAAGAAGTCAGACTTCTAGCCTGACAGTTTCACTACCCAGCATCCATTTCACCAGAGGTAACTGAGTCGAACGCTGCTCCAAATACTTGCATTCCCTCTTCACATTCCCTTCTGTTTCACAGGAGATGACTTTGACTACTTTGGCTTTGATTAAATAAATCACAGTGTATTACAATTGTGTTTTCGGACGTGGGGGCATATCGTCATTTTACACAGATACAGAGTAGAAATCTTGCATGTCAACAGCTGCGCAGTATACCAGCGTTAGCCTGACGCTGTTTCCTTCTCACTCTTTTTCTTCTTGGGTGTGCTGAGGACGGGACGAGCAGCATCTTGCAGACTCATTTGGCCAGTGGAACTTTCTTTCTCCAGAGAAGCTGTGCACATCCCCTTCTTTCAAACCTTTTACTTTACTGAGGGGACATGATTTGTACCAGCAGGTGGTCATTTAAGTAGTTAATAAAATCGAGATTGAGGCAAGGGCTGCCGGGAATGGTTGTGCCAGTGCGTTCTGCACACTCCAGGGCACTCTTTACCTTGTCATGTTTGTGAACGCTGTTCCTTGGGGTTGTGCAGTGTGTAGTCTAGGGGGCCTTACACAAGGAACCTTGGGAAGAGGCCTTGTTTTTGCAAGTTGAAAGCAATGGAATTTTGGAAGAGGAGGCCATTCACGTGTCTGGCCGGAGACATGAATGTCAGACTTTACCCGTCCAGTATGATAGATTTAAAATAGGATCGGTTGTTATCTTATACTTAAAATACCTTATACTTGCAATTTCTGTGATGTGGTCCAGTTTCGACAATGGCTTTCACAAGCCCTTTCTCAATTGATTATCGTCTTGAAAGTTAGGAGAGCGTATTAGTCACCGTAGGTTTATTGCTGTTAATTAACAAGCTTGCCATCTTAGCGGCCTAACACAATAGCGATTCATTTCCCCCCCCACGTCACGTCCAGTGTGGGCTTCAGCAGGCGTGGGCTCTGCACCACAGAGTCATCCAAGGACCCAGGTCTTTGAATCTGGTGGCTGCTAGGTCAGTCCTCTGTGACCTCAGAGTCCTTCACTGGCTCCTCTGCCTCTGGTCGCCCCCTGAGAGACAGTGTCAGGAAATGTGCAGGTGACCCGGGAGGGGCATCTTCCGTCTCTACCTACGTGCCGTTGGCCAGAGCGGACTCAGTTGTCCCCACCCAACTGCCAGGAAAGCTGGGAAATGTCTCGCTGTGCATCCAAGTGGAAAAGGCCCTGGGGTTAGGGCAGGCATGAGTCAATGTTGCAGAGCTGACCCCTGTTCTCTATTTTGTTTCTTCTCCAGGAGACTTCTTGGCATCATCACGAAAAAGGATGTTTTGAGACATATGGCCCAGATGGCAAACCAGGACCCTGAATCCATCATGTTTAATTAGAAACAAGGTGGCATTTATTTTGAGAAAAACACAACTGTCATTTTAAAAGAAATAAACAAATGATATGTTGTTATCCTAATGAACGATTGTACGCTGGGGGCAGTGGGAAAAAAAAGCTTTGTTTGAAAAGAAGAAGGATGAAACCTTTTTTAAAAAAAGACATCAATGAGTAGGCATTTTAGAGCTTTAACCCTTTGTGAGTTTCCAGCTGTGTTTCTTAATGAGATTATTAACTGCCAGGGGGGCCTGGGGGTGGGTGTAAACGATGTGGTTTGTCCAGGGACACGGAACACAAATGCTGAGTCCAGAAACGTTTGCCCCTTGTGTTTAAGGCTGATGTTTGTGAAGCTTTGAGTCCAAAAGGCAAAGGAGTATTGGCCTGTCAGCATCTTTTATTTATTGGTTCCTGAAGTTTTGCTGCTATTTTACTGAATCGGACTAAAGATATTTGCACTTGCTCTGTTGGAAAAGACAAGAGAAATTAAATTGGAACGTAGTGAAAGCTGAAAGTTTTTTGCCAGTTGGTCCACTCATGACCGTCCCATTTCTTGCTCCTGTTCTCCGCCTAGCGTTTTGCTTCTCCATCAGTTTCCGAACCAACATCCAGGGTCTCCTGCAGTGACAGAGTATGAAGAAATCATTTATCTGTGCAAGACCAGCATCTCGGGACTGCATAATGAACTATTGGCGTGTTTCGTGCTGCCCATATTTCCTCCCATGCAGAGGGACTCGTGCTGATTTGGAGGGTATACACACCTGCTTGTTGTGTTGCAGATGTGTTGCATGTGCCTCACCTGTTTATTGCTGTTGCCCGTGCATTCCTAAATATTGAGCAGTCCAGCACTTTCCATGGGCCATATCCTATATGCTGCCAGCTTGTCGTAAGTGTGCTTTTAATTTCCAAATAGCGTACGTGAGGGTCAAAACAGGCCACCCGGTGTTACTTCTTATTTTTCCTTTCAGATCTTATTAAATATGGCTGCAGAGAGGGTGAGGCATACGAAGTCTCAGTGGGAACTCCTCCAAATGGATTGTAAGAGAAATACTAAATTGATTCTAAATCTGTTCCATTATCTTCTCCGTAGGATGCAAAACGTCCAGCATTAATGTCTAAGCGTGCACTTTCATGCTTGTACGCAGAGCACAGAAGGGCAGAGTTAAATCGTAGACAGCAAGTTTGAGCACTGGGCACCTTTGTATTGAACTTATGGTGCATTTATCTCTTTAGTCAGGACTTTGGTCTTTTCTGGGAGAAGGCACATAGCTGTGGTTTAGGTCCATGGTGTGATCTGTGTGAGTATGATTGCTCCCACTTTCCCCCTCACATCAGTCTTGGCTCTTCCCAGCTCACTGGGAGGCCCTCACCCTTTGCAGCCTTGTTACCAGATATTGACGTAGCAGGTGTGCGTTTGGCGGCAAATAACAGAAAAATCCAACAGACAGTGGAGAGTTGAATGAGAAACCCGGGGGTCGGGCACTCTCGGCTCTCTCCGTATTATCATCAAGGATTCATGCCCTTTGGTATTGTTTCCTGCCATCCTTTGTCCTCTGGCTCATTGCCTCTGAGCCAGCCACAAGGTGGTTCCTGAGCTGCCAGGTAGGATGTCCGCTTCTTAGACAGGAAGAGGGAGGAAGAGACCCGTGCCAAGGTGCAGTGCCCGTATCAGGAAAGCAAAACTTTCCCGGAGATGCTCAGCTTACATCTATTGGCTAGAATTCTGTCACATGACTCCCCCTAGCTGCATGTGAATGTGGGAAGGAAGGTTTTTAGCTAGACATACTAGTCTCTGAACGAAATTTAGATTCTCTTAATAAGGAAGGGGCGTCGGTCCTGGGGAGGGAATGCTGTCCGCTGGATTGGGTGCCTGTTGTCGTCCTTCCTGTCCCCCTTACCCTCTTTCTTGCTAAACCCTCTAGACACTCTCTTCTCACCTCATAGTTTCCCACCCCTTCTGTCAGATTTGACCTAGAACTGCCAGTCAGAAGCCATCATTTCTTAGCCCTAATAAAAACCTAGAAACTTCTAGTCGGCATAAGAAAATGTACTGACATGTTCTCTGGGTTAAAAAAGTTAAGTCAGCTCATGCTGGCTCCTCCAAACTAATATCGAATAGCCACTTCATCGTGGAAATACCAGTCAGTGGTAGAGAATTCAATCTTCGTGTCTCGTTCGCGGCATGTAAGTATCGAGTAACAGATCCTAATATTAGTGTTGTTACCGGGGTTTCCATGGAACACATGCAAGTGAAGCTGGATTCTTCTGGACTTTAAATCCTAAACGGTCTTAAAGATTGCTTCCTGTAGTTCCCTCTTACTTCCACGTGGCCTCCCAAAAGACCGTTAGTCATAGCCTGGATTTATATAATCCAGGACGCCCTTTTAGCTGAAATAAGGAGCTTCGGAAGGGAACACGAAACAAGTGAACAGATGGCCAAAGGTCAGTGAAACCACAGAATTTCCTCCTCCTCCAGCCAAGACCATGGAAGGATGAAGGGACAGTTTACTCCGGGCCAAGGTCGCCGAGGGGCGTTGTGTTGTGTCCTCCCCAGTGCCTAGTGTAGAGGAGTCCACAGGCTCACGGGAAACCACTGGGAGTGCTCCTTGACTCAGATAGCCTTGTTTTCCTTCATATAAGTCGAACCTCTCATTTGTTGTGGGGTTCGGGCTCTTGGCGACAGAAGGCCGGGGTCAGACAGGTAGGTGAAGGTCAAGGATGGGGGAGTTGATTGCCGGCCTGGGGTCCCAGACAAAACTCGATGGGGGACTGGTTCCCAAGCTCTTTGTCACTCTTTCTTGTGAAAGTTTGCGGGTAGGGATTTTGAAGGTATTTGCTGTATCCAGATGTAGAACTTCGTCCACTTTACGTGGTGATTTGATGAGCAAGAGGAGTAGAACTGAGATGTGGAAGTAAAATAAACATTTCTCGGAATAATGTGTTTTTATCTTTTTCCAGAACCAAAGCCTTTAGGCCTTTGTAGAACTTTCTGGATTCTTTCTGAGTCAGTGTTTTATGTAAATAAACATAAATGAAGAATGGAAAAGGAGTTCTCTGACGAGGCACATCAACCTGTTGCTTGTTCTCCCTCTCTGCTACGAAGGAAATGCATTGTAGAAGGGACAGCCACCAAATAAAGCGTATCCCGAAAGGGACATTCAAATTTCTTGCGTTTTTCAGCGCATCCCCTGGGACTGCAGATGTGCACATGGCATTCATGGAAAGATAAATGTGTTAGGAGCAAATCACTATTCCGTGTTTGCTGTTACTCACCACCAGGCAATCTCCAAGTCCTCTATTTAGTACTTCCCAAAAACCTTACAAAGGAGAAGACATCTCAGTAGATCTATTTTTGGCCCTAAGAAGTCCCAGAGACTCGCAAAATTTGTTTCGCTTAGGTGAGAACTGGTTACTTTACATTATCAACATGTGCAAATCTGCTCTGTGCTCATTATCAGATGCCGAGCTGGAAGCGATGAGAGACGCAAGGAGGAGCACTACCGAGTTACATAATTGTAATAGTACGCCTTCCTTCTCATTTCACGTGGGCAGGGTTTTATCGCCCTCCACTCCGAGCCTTTGAAATGATTTACATGGGGGGGCGGGTGGTGGTGGGGAGGAGCATGTGTATCTAACTTGGGAACATTAACCAGACTCCATTTTCACCGGTGCAGTAATAACTATTTATTTGCCGTCCTAGGTGTGCTGGGAATGAGCCTACATGCGACTTTTATGAGATCTATTCGCATTTGGTGTTGGAACAACCACACAGCAATGTGGTTTTTTTTTTTTTTTAATTGTAACCTTCTGTGTAAACGTTGGCACCTTATTAAAAATTAAATGTTTGAACTTTACTTTTAAAATAAAACAAGCACAGTCCTCAAGAAGCATGTTGTAAGTGGAAGAGATACTGATTTCGCAGCATGTTTCTGCCCAGCAGACCCTCTGGAAACCTGATTCCGGTGACGGCTCAAGTATCCGGGGAAGTTAAAGACTGATTCTTAAGATTTTCACGCAAGATGGTGACGTCAGTTTGGTCAGCTTTAAAATCCCTTGATCTTAGCCTGGTGGGTGATGGCCAAATAACAGTTCAGACTGGGGCTATAAAAACGTCCAAGGGTGGGGCAGGAGCACTGTCCGCGGGCCGTCTGTGTTTCTGCCCTGTGCACGGAGGCCGGGCAGGACAGCTTGGGCCATGGTCTAACATTAATTCTGTCCCCCCTTCAAACTTCTTATCTATGACTTCGGGAATCACAAGAGCTTAAATTATGTCCTTCCCTGCCAGTTGCTTTTTTTTTAATTTTCAACTTTACAAAAATATGAAGGAAAAAACACAGAGAATGCCCACATCTCTTTGATGATCTAGAAGAAGCAGTGAGAGGAATCCCTTCTAATTGGGGGAGGGAGCCAGCCTGGGGACAGCTTAGGGAAGGTCGTCCTCAGCACAGGGACCAGCAAATGCAAATGTCCTGAGGTGGAAACAGGCCTAACTTCCTGGGGTCCCACCAGGGGTGAGTGGCTGCGGGATGGATGGTGCTTGCGGAGAGATGAGTGTGGGGTATTTGAAGTTGGTTTTGTTTTTCCTTCGGTGGGAGGCTAATACAAGCAGATGCTTCCAAGTGTCACAGGGCCAGGTACAGACAAGGAATTTAGAGGAAGGACGTGCTTTGACTTGCATTGTACGTGAACCGTTTTGGCTGTTGTATAGCGGGACTGGAAGTCAGGAATCTGGCTAGGAGGCTATTTCAAATACACGAGTTATGATGGAGGCTTGTCCCAGAGAAGCTCTTGAACTCTGGTCATATTTCCGGGTAGAGCCAACAGATTTGCCAGTGGAGTGGGTATACAATGGCGCGACTACGTGGCCGTTCACTGACGTGGGCGAGACTAGGTGAAGTGCTCCGTTGGAGAGCTCTGTCGGACACCAAAGTCCAGAGTTCTGGGGAATCGTTGAGGTTGGAGACCTAGGTCAGGCCACTGGCACGTATCAGTGGTATTAAAGCCCTGCCTGGAAGCTTCCATGGCCTAATGATACCCTGAGAGCCAACAACCAACATTCTGACAGAATTTCAATAGTGAGTTTTCAGGGAGTCAGGCTTAGTGATAGGACTGCACTTGAATTCCAGCTCCACTGCCTTTTGGCTGTGTGACACTGTCAAAGGGACTGAACCTCTCTGAGCCGAGATTATCCCATCTCTGTCGAGTGAGCTGTCGCTCCTGACCAGCCGCGTGGCTGTGAGAGTTCAACAAGAGACACGTACATAAGGCACTTGGCAGGGACCATTTCACGTTATGAAGCCCTCCGGGTAGCTTCAGTTGGAAATTAACTTTATGTTGTTTTCAGTTGAGTTGTAAGACCTCTAAAATGAGTAACACAGATCGGGCTAACCAGTTGCCTTCTTTCCAGCTCTATCTGCAGTCATTTCCAAAAACTCGAAAAGAAACAAAAACAAAACCTCAGATCTCTTAAGGAATACAAAGAAAAAAAAAAAAAGCCTCACTGACTCCAAAGTAATGGTAAATTATTAGAAAAGAAATCACTTGGTAAGAAATTCCATTTCTCTGTAGCTTTGTATCGGCTCAGAGAGCAGAAAAGCATAAATAGGCGTGGTACTGAACTATTGATTAGCTTAAAATTTGGAGCAAGAGTTCACGAAACACGAAGACTGTGTGTAACTTGCTTCTTTTCAGACAACGTAAAACCCAATACCATTGCACCTCCAGACAAAAATCTCTCCAGCGTGGTGTTAATGTAGAAATAAGTCTCATTAGTAAAAGTCATGAAAGACCAGCCTTCTGTGGGCCTTGGCTATTTCCCCTCAACACGATGTAGTTAAAAACCAGAGGGGGAGAATGAACAAACAGGATTTGTCCGAAAGGTGACAACCCATCAGTTTTAATTCTGGGAGCTTAGCTAGAGCTAACCAGAATGGCTTCGCAAATAAACGTCTGGGTCAGGCAGGCTTCTTCCTGGGCTTTCATGAATTGAGACGGGACCAGAAACTTCCACGGCCTCCTGGGGCAACGTGCTCTGGCCCAGCGCAGAGGAGCCCGGCACGCCTGTTACAGCTCGTCCCCAGTTCATTGGTAGTTAATTGGCTAGAAAGAAGCTACCATATGTGAAAGCAGATAGGGAGCATCTATTCTTGGCAGTTCCTCAACATTGCATTTCATTAAAGAAATGGTCTTTTCTTTCCGAATGAGCAATAAGCAAAGAGCACCTTGTGGGGATTTCCAAACCCCTTTAGTCAGGGTTTGGCTCACAGAGCGCAGGGAGCAATTTCGATGTGATTCCAGCGTTTGTTATGGAACACATATTCCAAAGATTAAACAGCCGCCCTCAATCCAAACAGATTCTGTCAGAGAAATTGGAAACACATACATAAACTCTCGTCCCGCAGGCTGCCTGTGACAGGTTGAGTCCAGAGGATGCTTGCTGGTAGAACATTCCTTCCTTCTGCGGGGCTCCGTGTTCATTTCACACTCACTCGGGGCTCCCACCTGTTTCCAGCCAATACTAACCCAAGCGGAAATTGGAGCTAGCTGCCTTTCGACGGACTGGTTTCCTTTTCTGACATTTCTCAAACTTCAGTCCGTCCCCAGAAAGATGAGCATTTCCGGCAATGGCTGTGGGTGATTTACCTTCTCCGGGGAGTTGCCAAGTGTCCAGCTGCTCCGTGGGGCAGGAGTCTCAATAGTGCGGAGAGGACTGGGGAGAAGGAGTAGGTCCGCCTGCAGTGGGGACGCACTTGCCAAAGTGCTCCCAGAATCCCGTGCTCGCGCACGACGCCAATAGGTGCCCGAGGACAAGAGTGGATTCTGTGGCTAGCTAACTGGAAAGTTCTTTCTCCTGGGACTGGGGTTCCAAAGACCTGTCCTTGGGGAGCACTGCTATGGGGGCGGGAGCGTGAGTGTCCAGGAAGTGTCCTTCTTAGTTTCTTTGCAGAGCTGAACGGCCTGGGAGACGTGAGTCACCTTTAATGGACGTCCAGCACATCATCTGTGCAGCTGGGACTTTGCGCTTGATAACCAGAATGGTATTTAGGGACTGGCCTCTTCGGCGTCGCCAGAGCTGGTCAGAAACGCAGCATTCCGTGATCCATTGTTTGCGTATAACACCCAGGGCTCCATTCAGTATGTGCCCTCACGATCTCAGGGTCATGGGATCGAGCCCCGAGTGGGTCTCCATGCTGAGTGTGGAGCCTGCTTGAGATTCTCTCTCTCCATCTCCCTCTGCCCTTCCCCCTGCTCGCACACCCTCCCTCCCCCCACCTCAATGGCAATAGATAAAATCTTTTTTTAAAATGTTTAATTTTAACAACTTAAACAGTTTCATGTTTTTTCCTATCTTAGTCAAATACTTTGTGATTAATAGGTGAAGAGAAACCTCAGCCTTGTTTCTTAACCAAATGATCATAAATTCTATATTTATTACATCAGAAAAAAAAAAAATGCAGCATTCCAAGCCCCGCTCAGGTCTGCTGAGCCAGAATCTGCATTTTCCCCGGGAGGTTTGTGTGCAGAGTGAAGTTTGAGCGCTTCCCTTAGGTGGCAGGTCCGAGCGAGACCTCCTGAGTTGATGTCCAGCTCTAAGATCCAGAGTTCTCTATTCTCTAAGGGGAACTTCAGGGGGACGGGGGAGCAGTGGCTGCGATGATTGCATCCCCGAAGGAGCCTGTCCAGAGAAACGAGGTGGAGAGCAACTTGGCATGAGGTCTCCCTTTTTTATTTTTTCCCCTTCTTTAAATTTTTTTATTGTTATGTTCATCACCATACAGTACATCATTAGCTTTTGATGTAGTGTTCCATGATTCATTGTTTGTGCATAACACCCAGTGCCCCACGCAGCACGTGCCCTCTTTAATACCCATCACCAGGCTAACCCATCCCCCCACCCCCCTCCCCTCTAGAACCCTCAGTTTGTTTCTCAGAGTCCATCGCCTCTCATGGTTCGTCTCCCCCTCCGACTTACTCCCCTTCATTCTTCCCTCCTACTATCTTCTTCTTTTTTTTTTCTTAACATATATTGCATTATTTGTTTCAGAAGTACAGATCTGTGATTCAACAGTCTTGCACAATTCACAGCGCTCACCGTAGCACATACCCTCCCCAATGTCCATCACCCAGCCACCCCATCCCTCCCCCCCCCCCACCTCTCCAGTAACACTCAGTTTGTTTCCTGAGATTAAGAATTCCTCATATCAGTGAGGTCATAGGATACATGTCTTTCTCTGACTGACTTATTTCACTCAGCATAACACCCTTCAGTTCCATCCACGTCGTTGCAAATGGCAAGATCTCATTCCTTTTGATGGCTGCATAATATTCCTTTGTGTATATATACCACGTCTTCTTTATCCATTCATCTGTCGATGGACATCTTGACTCTTTCCACAGTTTGGCTATTGTGGACGTTGGCATGAGGTCTCTTAAGTCCGACTTCTCAGCCCCCAAACTGTCCCGCTCACCACCGCGCTGCCACGTGATGCTCTGTGTCTCCGGTGGCTGCCGAGGGTGTGCGTGTGCAGGGGTGGGGCGTGGCGGCAGTCCCCCTCCCCTCCCACTCGAATGGTGCAGAAGGGAGCCCTGGGATTTACAAAGCGTGGACAAAGGGACCCTGCTTCGGGGTAGTGTTGGTGAGCTTTTCATAAAGCTGGGTGCAAATCTCTACAGTTAGGCAAAGACAGGGTGGACAGGCTTTGGTGTCTCTGGGTGCCTGGGAAAGAGTGTCCCCCTCCCCGAAGCAGAAAGCAACAACGTAAGGGAGGGGGGAGCGTTGGCTTCTTTCTTTCAGAGAACCTAACCGCACGCCTGGGAAGACTGCGGTCATCTTCCTCGGGCATACATCTGGCGCCAACTGGGT